ATGGGCGGGGTGAGAAATCATTTTATAATGTTTATTTATTTAAAGCTATAATGATTATAACTATCGCAGAATCATTGCATTTAAGCTTACAGATGGATATTAATCATACGGACCCTTTAGACACCCAATCCCGACCAACTTAAAAGAGAGTTTATGGCTAAATAAATCATCAGTAGCATACTAAATATATGCATAACATTTTTTAGTTATATTTAAAATGAATTGCTCATTATTTTCTTTAATATATTTATATTAGTATAGTACATACATATTTATTTTATTATATTTCCAATGTTACATTTAATATTAAATTCCCTCAGTCATCTATGTACCTATTGTTGTACTCCTCTGTCGTTGCCCATCTCCCTCACACATTGTGTTGAGATATATAGATTCCTTTACATTCTCTCCTCTCTCAACGCCAATGACATTTTTTACCTAAAAAACTCTCTTTTCCAGATAAATTTACATGAATGCTGGCATTTTATTGGTCGGGAAAAAACTAACGAAAAAACGGACCAAACCGAAAACAAGAAACACAAGCCAGCGCCGAGTATTGCATTTTCCGAGAGTATTTTCCGGCTAAGGGTCGCTAAAAAACTAGGGGTTGAACGCCCAGCACAGCCACCACCACGGGGTTGGTTGGCCTTTCGCCCGTTTTTTAAGAGAGACGAGAGCGAGCGAGATCGTTTTTTAAGAGACGAAGTGGCAATAGAGGAGAGGGTTGTAGCTGGAACTTTGAGTTTGCGCAACTTCTGCTATATTAGCTGGCGGCAACGGAAGAGTTGAGACACTCGAAGCCGAACGTCGATCGCAAGACGTGCAAGACAAGCCGATCGAGAACGAGATATTCCGTGTTCGCTGTGTTCAACCAACTGTGCTGTGACAAACCAAACCACAAAATCTTCGAGACCAAAGAAAAATCTTAAGAATTTTTTAAAACGAAAGGAGAGAGATCCTTGTTCAGTGCTGTGTTTTACAAGAAAAATACAAAATATAAAAGTGCTTTGCCAAAATGTCCAATCAAATGGAGTTTATAATGCAGCTTTATATGATGAACTTGCTGCAGCAGCAGCAACAGCAGCAGCAGCAGTTGCAGCTGCAGCAGCCCCAACAGCAGCAACTAGCTGGATACACTTACACACAGAACGAGGACATCTCTAGCAGCACATGCCTGCAACAGCAGCAGCAACATGAACAGCAGCAGCAATATGAACAGCAACAGCAACATGAACCTCTCAAGACAAGAACGCACAAACGCATTAGCTCGCAAAACACGACCTGTAGTACTCGTAGTAGCCGTAGTTGTAGTCCCAATAGTAATTTGATTGCTCTTCAACAACAACAACCATTTGTCCATGCTTCAGCATCCACGACCCCCGCACCTAACAACTTTGTTGGCCAGATGTTGCTCAACACATTGCCCCCCCTGACGCAGTTCATGCTGCAGCAGCAACAACACCAGCAGCAGCAGCAGCAACAGCAGCAACAGCAACACTTGTTGGCAACATCGAACCTCCTACTAACACCCACCCACACGCCCAGCTCCATGAAGCAGGAGCAGCTGCAACAACACATGATGCTGGGCCAGCTTTCTGGCGCAGTAAATGTCGAACAGCTTACCACAAATAATTTTTTGCAATCCTCCACAGTGACATCAACGCCAATCGAGAGCGCAGCGCAACATGCTGCCGACGCAGTCACCTCTCCACCAGCAGCAACATCTGCAGTGGCTCAGGGAGCGCATGTTGCCAGCAACCTTTCGGCCGTCACAGTCAAATATAAGCAGGATTTCGATGATGAAGATGATGATGATGATGATGATGACAAGCCTCTGTCCAGCCTGAACAGCTGCAGCTCCTCGGGGCTGGTCAGCACTAATGCCAGCTCCGAGAAGATGCTGATGATGTCGGGCGTGCAGCCGTTGGAGTCGACCACAGACAGCGTCGACTCCCCCAGCATGGTGAGTAGTCCGATAGTCTGTAGGGAACCTTAACCATGGGAATATAATTTATTAATAGAGTAAATCAGAATTTTCCATGCCTCTCTTTTCGAGCTTTAACTGGGAATAGGGAAATTATGGGGAATATCCCACGCTTTTGTAATTTGAGTGATCCAACAAACGATTCGTGATTCAAGAACTCTTTCGCGGCTTGTTCGAGACCGAAAGATCTCAAACAGAAAGATCTCGGATTCCAACGAAAACAAACAGCTGTGTCGGCAACGCGTGGGTTTGACTCCCCGACGGGCCATCTGTGGGCACCAGGCAGTCTGTCGGAGATGTGACCCAACCTTCTGTATATTTTATGTAACATTTTTCTCCTCTCTCCCTCACGTTTTGCAGTATACGCCCGTCAAGCAGCCGGCGGACTCATCGTACAACATCACGCCCCTCGACAGTGAGCTCACACCGAACACCCCCATAGCCCAGACCCAGACCAGCTCCCTCCTGACCCCGCCATCCAGCGAGCAGAGCAAGAGCATTGTCAGCCTCTCCACGGCGAGCAGCCTCGACGTGTTCCTGCAGAGCGAGGATAGCCTGAAGAACCTGAGAAAGGTGTCCTCGTATCTGGAGTGCGAGAATAGCCTGTGCCGACAGGAGAATTTGCGGGAGCACTTCCACTGCCACGACGAGCCCTGCCAGGGCAAGATCTTGAGCAAAAAGGATGATATCATCCGCCACCTTAAGTGGCACAAAAAGCGCAAGGAGAGCCTCAAGCTGGGCTTTGCCCGCTTCTCCTCGGCGGACGACTGTGCCCCGGCCTACGGCGAGGGCTGTGCCTACAACTGGAAACAGACCCATTACCACTGCATCTACGAGCACTGCCCCAAGGTCTATGTGAGCACCAGCGACGTCCAGATGCACGCCAACTTTCACCGCAAGGACTCGGAGATAGTCAACGAGGGTTTCCGACGCTTTCGGGCACACGAAAACTGTCGCATCGAGGATTGCCCCTTCTTCGGCAGAAAGATTTCCCACTATCATTGCTGCCGCGAGGGCTGCAACCACACGTTCAAGAACAAGGCTGATATGGGTGAGTACAGAGCAGAGCGTGGTGCATGCTGAACAGAAATTTACTTAGTTGTATCTGTCCGCTCTTTTCAGACAAACACAAGACCTATCACCTAAAGGACCATCAGCTGAAGATGGATGGCTTCAAGAAGATTCTGAAGACGGAGGCCTGCCCCTTCGAGGCCTGCAAGTTCTCCACCGTTTGCAACCACATCCACTGTGTGCGCGAGGGCTGCGACTACATCTTGCACTCCAGCAGCCAGATGATCAGCCACAAGCGTAAGCACGATCGGCAGGACGGGGAGCAGGCTTACCAGCAGTTCAAGATCAAGAACGAAGTGGAGGAGTCCTCCCTGGATGCCGCGCCCCAGCAGCCGCAGCCAACCGTTTGTGCCACTCAGCTCCCGATCAGTTCCTCCAGCAGCATCAACACCTCCACACCACTCTCCTCTCTCTCCGCTGAGCACTTCCTGTCCCGAAAGCGTGGCAGGCCACCCAAGAAAATTGTGAGTATAGAAGTCTATTACCGATATCCCGGAACTTACTTATCGTTTATGTATCCATCCATTCATAGCAACTGCCCGCCGATGCTAAGCAGCCTGAGGATAAACGTCTGAAGGTCGAGGATGATGCCAGCCAGCCGGCCATGCTCCAGCCCCAACCCCTGCCACAATTCTTGCCCCAATCCTCACTCAACCCACTCGCCAACGGTCTGTTTCCCAGCCTCCTGCCAAACTTCGGTGTTGGTGCCACCGCTGCCGCTGCACCTGGGACAGATGCCACAGCGCCAAACTTCCAGCTGACGCATTTAATGGCCCTCTTCCAGCTGCAGAATCCTCTATTCTACCATAACCTCTATCCCGGCATGCCTCAGAACAGCTCGATGCTGGGAAACCTGGCCGCCTTCAGTGCTGCCTCGGCTGCAGCGGCGGCGGCAGCAGCAGCCACCGGGGGGCAGCAGCCCAAGGCGGAATTTAGCGTTAAGCCAGAGTTCAAGGAGTAGGCCCGTCGTCCTGCCCAGCATTTCTTGGGTTAGGCTTTTGTATATATGTATAGGATAGTAGGACAGACTGACGATGACGATTCGATGGACAGCAGCCAGGCGCGCGCTTTAAGCAGGTCCCTCTATATTGTCCTTTTTCTCTCACAACTTTCCGGGATGGGATCGGTTAGCGCTGAGGCAGGACCAGAACGGACGTGACGTTCCTTTACTTCCCAAAAGCGAACTCAGCCGCATTCTGAGATACTCGCAATGCCCATCAGAGTGCTGCTGAATTTGCTTTTGCTTAAGAGATTTCTGTTGATATTTTCTTCCCTTAGTCTAGTTTCTTCGAGTGCCACATTAATTTTGAAAATTTTCAGCCATCCTTAATAAAAAAAAAAGAAATTCTTGAATTTTAGTTCAACTAAAAACTGTGATTTTTCATTAGATCTGCCCAATATGCTTGCTAGTTTAGTTAGAATGCTGAAATGGCCTGACTTAGGGGATTTATTTGTCAATACCTGTATGTGATATGCCAATAAGAAAATGCAAATTGTTCAGACTTTAGCCATTAAGATATTATTAAAATAAATATGTATGTAAAATAACTAGCAAATTCTTCTGATGTCCATTCCTAGTTTAATGGTTTATAATGCCGAATAAATCATCAAGCCATACGGCTTGGGGTACTTCAAATAATTAATCATAATGTTTGTGTTAAACCAAAGACTATAAAAAACCAACATAAATATACAAAGAAAATATAAAATACTATTTATATTTCAAGTACTTTATTTCATAGTTTTATTTAATTAATTATTTGGAATGTCTGTTGAGCGCCTTGACCACGACTGAGAATTTTTTTAGTGGGAAAAACCCCGTCACAGAACAGCTCTTTGGTAATTGTTTAATATTTTTAAAAGCGGATGGTGAAGACCAAATGTTCTTATTTTTTAGTTAATGCCATTAACTCTGTGTAAAATAAGTAAAACAAAAACTCCATGCGGTATCGATTAAATAATTTTTGTTGACTTTATTATTGTTTTCATATATGTAATGTAATTGCTGTTGATTTTACTCATATTCTAACCCAAATCAGCTAAACAAAGGTCGGGCGCCTGATCCAAGGATCCCGGCTAAGCAAAGATATAAGTTTAAGTACTTAACACAGAAGCGATTTGTTTGTTTGGTTGTTTTTGCATGTATTTTCCACGTTTTATAGTTATTGCATGTATATTATGTACGAATATTTAAATCATTTAAATCCAAATACCATAATCATAGAGAAGAGATGTCAGAAAATTGTATTCTACTACAAGCAAATGTCGCGCGGAATACAAGTGTCGTTTTATACATTAGTTTCTGATTTAAGTTTACATTGAAAAAGAAAAACCCAGGGGAGAAATGTACAATAGAAATATAGTTACAACTTAGGATAATTTTAAGAACTAAGTTACTATACTAAATGTAACCAAAGAAACGAAAGCCGCGTAACAACAAGTAAGCTACTAAGTAAATTCGTTAAATATTAAGTTAATAGTGAACGGGTAACTAAACTAAAACAAGCTACAGATTCTTTCTTGTATGCCTCCTTTGATTTGGTTTATTTTTTATTCGCTGTGGCTGTGGCTGCTGCTTTCTGAGGTGCGGTGTGGCGTGAGGTTATAAATTTGTCATCAAAACGTTAGCCAAGTCTATAAAACCTTGCAAAAGCATTTGTCCAATTCCTTTGTATAAGCACACTACATGTTTGTAGGGTTATAAGGGGGTCATATATATGTTCCGGGGGGGTGGGGATCAGTTTATAACGATTGCGTGACTGGCGGAGCAAATATATATGGCAACATTTTGTGCGCACATTGACACAATTTGAAAAACGAAGTAGTTATAGGTTGACTTTATATCTAAGCGGCAACAGAAGTTCGTGAGTAGCACGGATAAGCTGTCCGTCCGTTTGTCCGTCCGTTACCAGGTCCTGGACTCTGCTCAGGGCGATGGCTCGCGATAGAACCCGCGAAGCAGTTTCCTGATGAATCAGAAACGTTAGCTGCGTCCGGTGGTCGCTGCAGGCGGTGCCAGTTCCACCGGAACAGGCGCCACACCCACAGACGACTCTGTGCTGGACTGGTTCTGGACACCGCCAAGAGGAATGGCTCTCATGTGGTGCACAGGACGTATCGACTTGAGCTGGGTTGTGCCCTTGAATCGCACATTTACATCGCCGCCCACCATGCTGAGCGGGTGCATGGCCTGCTCCTCCTCCTGTGGCATTGCCGCAATGCTTGTTGCGGGAGGCAACTGCTCCATCGGCCCTGGCGCCGGCGCTGTGGTGATGGCAACGACGTTGCTGCCGTACGTCTGACGAGTCGCTAGCGGGGACAGCGCTGGCGGCGTGGTCTTGTAGCCCATGCGGCTGAAAATACTCCCACCGCTGCTGTTACTCGCTGTGCTGGGCGGACTGAGGGGCGTGCCCACGCCAGAGTCCACCTCCAGGGGACTCTTGATATTGGCTACGAACTTGTCCACATGCTCCGGCAGCTTCAGCTCGTCCAGCTTTGTTTGCATGACGGTCCGTGCACTGGCATTGTCCAGCAGTCGGTTCGGCCGCGAGGGAGGCGTGGGCGCGACGGCGACTGCGACTGCGGGGATCGGCTCATTGGCTGGTGCATTGCTGGATTGACCATTCATTCGGTGCAGCTGCTGCTGCTGCTGCCGCAGCTGCTCAAAAAAAGGTGTCTTCTCCTTCTTCAGTTTTTGTGGCGAACCATGTTCGTCTCTTTCGGTCAGCTCTTCGAGCACCTTGAGTTGAAACCCCAAGTGACTGTTCACAGAGATGGATTTGCCGATCTTGCGGTCAGCAAAGATTGGGCGGCGTCGCTGTCGCTCCAGATCATCCAGCTGCTGGAGCATGCGTCTCACCTCGTTGGGCAGCTCCAGATCGGGATTGTGCTCCACCAGTTGGCCGACGTAGCGGCCTAGCGTCTGTATGGTCAGCTCCAGCGACTGCACTTGCGACTGCAGCGAAGATATCTGGGATTGCTGAGAGGAACGCGTAGTCTCCAGCTGAGCAATCGAGGATTGAGCAAACTGCAAAAGAAATTGGGTCAGTGGATGCCTCCATAAGCTATAGAGATTGGGTGTGAAGCGAACCTGAAGCTGCTGCTCCAGATGCTGATTCTGCGTCTTTTCTCTGTTCAGCATCTCCAGGTGATGGTTGGTGGTGGTGATCTCCTCCTGCAGCACATTGTACTCCACATTGTACTCGGCCAGCTGCTTGCCAATGTCCATCGAGAAGGCCAGCTTCATGATTTTCTCCATGCAGTTGGGCTCTATTTTGGGCACCACCGTCTTCAGGTAGTCCATGATCTCCTCGAAGTTATCCTTGGCCAGCAGCTGCTGTTTGTGCACGGACAGCAGCGCAATGGAAAACTTGAAGATCACGTCGGAGGACTCCAGGAAAATCAGATCGAAGACACGAGCCACAAAGCCCAGGGGGAACTGGGAGCTGAACACGGTGAGGATCCAGGGTGCCGCGTATAGCGTGGGCGAGACATCGTTCTGATCCAGCCAGACGTACAGATCGGGCAGATGATCCTTGACCAGGCGCGAGAGCTGGTACAGCTGCAGCTGGAATTTCTTCATGTCTGGCAGGTATTTGGTGCGCATGTTGCGGCGGAACATCAAATGCTTCAACAGCTGAAAAGCGTTGGCCTCGTCGCACTGCAAAACAATTCGAAAACCACATTAGGTCACAGAGTATTCAAGAGAGTTTCGAGCAATCCAAGCTTACGTGCAACAGCAGAACGCCACAGATGAAGCCGAGACCCTGGCAGTAGCCCAGCTCCGGGTCGAGTATGGAGTAGGCCTTCAGCAGATTGAACAGCGAGAGTTGTCCCAGGCCCAGGGGATCCTTGTAGAACTGATGGTTGGGAAACGTCCTGCCCAGATCGATGAAGATCGCATGCTGATGCTCGGTGAGTTGCTTCAGCAACGTGTGGTACGGCGTATTGAAGTTGGGGAATCGCTTTGTATCCACCGGCGCCGTGTTCATGGAATGCTGCTCCGCCAGGAAGGTCCACACATCGCCGCGCTTCGAACGGGGAACTCCCGTGCGTATGGCATGGCCCAGCACCTTGGGATCCTTCTTGTTGCCGATCTGCGTTGAGTTTCGCTCTATGATCTGCTCCCAGCGCTCGATCAGCTGCTTGTCGCACGGCACTATCTCCTCGTAGTCCAGCTTGATGCGCTTCAGCTCGTTCTCGTTCTGCCTCAGCTGCAGCATAGCATTTTCCGTCTCCATGCGATTCAGCATGATCGTCTGCCGTATAGCCGTGCGCCACAGCTCCCGCAGCTCGGCCGCATCGCGCTTTCCCCTCTTCACAGCTGCAAACGGATAAAGGAATAATTAATCTCAATCGTAACTCAATCGAATGAAGGGGAAAACTCACGCTTGCGCATGGGTGACAGGAATTCAGTGGGCACCTCGCTGTCCAGACCCTTGGAGGGTGTGACGACGCTGTTGAGTATGGCCTGCCGCCACGAGCCCTGATGTGTCTCCGCCTCCTTGGGACTGTTGCCCACCTTGATGAAGCTGCACGGGGATCAAATAGGATGCAATCAAAAGGTGGATCTTTAGCGATTGACTCTACTCACATGTCCATCATGGGGCTCTTGAGCTGTTCGGCGGTGGGCTTGTTGCTGGGACTCGCTCCCACGGTGTTCGAGCGAGAGCGGAAGCCCTCCGGAGGCGACTCGGTGCCAAGTGGTTCGGCTGAGCCCTCCCTTATGTCGCGCAGATTGTGTGGCGGCACGGCAATGTCGTCCTTGGATGGTTTGCGCTTCAAGAGATTATCGAAAGAGTTGGTCAGCGAGCGCTTGGCCTTCATGAAGATGGTGCTGCCGCCGAGATATTGGTTGAGGAACTCCGAGCGGTTCTCTGCGGTGTCGTGCACATGGCGCTGCTGCCTGGACTCGCAGTGGGCGCGCAGTAGCATCATGAGGAACTGATTCTGCTCGGCCACCGGGGAGTTTGTCTTCTCAGAGCCACAGAACTTTGCCCACACAATCTCCTGCTCGTCGTCGCTTAGGGTTTCGATTCGACGCAGGATCAGGGCCTGGGTCTTCTTCTCGGACAGTCCCTCAACGTCCGTGCAGAGCTTGTGGTACCACAGCATGGGGCAATGCTCGCAGCTGAAGATCTGCGTCTCCTGCTTTTTCTTCTGCTCCGCACACGTGTCGAAGGCCTGGGCGATGGCTGCCACAATGTCGTCGCACACGTGCTCCGACTGGCACTTGAACACGTACCCGATGTAGCCCTCATTGTTCAGCTCGCGGCAAATGATACCGAAGTGATCCAGCGACTTCTGGCCGTGCACACAGCTGGCCACGTCCTTGAAGTCCTTGTATAGCAACACCTGCTTGCGGTCCGGCGAGATCAGCCGCAGGTCGCAGCGTCCCACCAGAAACACCATCGTGCGGTTCTGTTCCACGTACGGCGGTATGCAGCCCTGCGAGGCGGAGCGATCCCTCTGCTTGGGTATGCTGCAATGGGCAGGATCAATATGGTGTCAATGAGGTCTGTGTGGAATCACTAGGAGTCACCAGCTGCTACCCGTGAGGGTGTGCATGTGCATTCTGTGGCGTCATGCGTTAAAAAAGAGGCAATGGGTGCTGAAGGGCAAGCGAAACAAACGATAAACGAAAAAGGAAAGAGGAACCAACAAATCTAATTAAATATATGCATTTTCGGTGGCCCTCATAGTCCAAAATATTAATGTAGTATGTACGCACGTAAATATATTTATTGAATATTAAAACAGCTATTTGCAATAGCCAAATAATAGACCTTATAGGCGGTGCTCGATTCGTGCATCATTCATTTGTCGCGTCATGGACATTTCATGCATTTTTTGTGAATTTGAGTTCTCTTTTGATACTTTTTCTGTTGTGCGTCTTGTAGGCTCTAAATGAAATTTTAGTTGCACTGACAAACTGCAAGCAGTGGTAAAACATTCCCATTTTGTCAGGGAATTTTAGCACTCTCTTTCTGTGATAAGTATTGGATTTGGTTGTGCAGCTTTAGAGGCTTTAGTCAAAGAGCAAAAGAAGCACTAAGGATTGGTGCTTCTACCTTGCAGAGAGATTAATGCTGCACTAGACGTAAGAGCTATGTACGCAAACATTGGATACATATATCCAATCCATACATAGGTATAAGTACTCAGTCTGAGTTTTCTTCGACTAATATTGCTACAGGAATTGCTGCTCTAAGGGTTGTGAAAGGCCACCGAAAACGAATAACTAATAAACGAAAAAGCGAATCAAACTATGCAAAATCATGCTTCGGGTGGGTTGCGGACTACTGGGTGGCCACTTACTTCTCCAGCGCATAATTGGGATGCAGCTGACTGGGGCCAGCAGCGGCAGCTGCCGAAGCAGAGCCACTGGCTGATGCCGTGCCCTGGTCCCTGGGCGGCGTGGGCTGCTTGTTAACAATGACATTTGGCGCTTCCAGCTGGCTATCCTCGGTTTGGCTTTGTTGTTAAGTTGGGCAATACGAAGAAGTTTTGGGCGAAATGTCAGGGGAAAAGTACTCGAGGCTGCACTTGGGACTACTTACTGTTCCTTTTGGCCCAGTTCTATCTGGCTCTGGCCGCGCAGCAGTGGGCGCTTCTCGGGCGACTTGTTCTCCTTGTTCTCCTCGAGGGGACGTGGTGCGGCACCCTCCTCGGCGCCTGTTAGCTGCAGCTGCACTTGGGGCCTTCCCGGGGGCTCTCGCTCTTCCTCTGGCTGCTCTTGCTGAGGCTGCTCCTGCTCCTCATCCTCCTCCTTGAGGTCGTGACTCTTGAGACTGCTGACGCTCTTGGCCTCAATGCCCACACCTCCCTCGCTGCTGAGCGACATCTTGCGGTTCTGCAGGAGTCGCAGGCGCTGCGCGTCGTACGCCTTGAACTTGGGCAGAGCGTCGTCAATGAACGAGTTGGGCACCCGCTTCTGGGACACTCGAATCTTTCCCACGTACATCACCTCGAAGAAGTGCGTGTGGTTCGGCGAGATGTCTGCCAGCAGGGAGAGGTTGCTCTGGGCCGAGGTGGATGTGGGAATGTTCACCGTGCCAGAGGAGTTGCTCAGACCGTGAGTGTACGACTTGGAAGCCTTCATCTTGGAGCTGATCGGATTGGGACTCGCATCGTGCTGGGCCTGCCGCATGGCTTCGCTCATCTTCAGATTCGTCGCCGGTGTGGCATGTATCCCGTTTAGGGCCCCATTCGATGCGCTGTGTCCCCCCGCTCCTGCACCGCCAGCGCCGCCAATCAACGTCTGCGGTATGCTGCCCACAGAGCCGCCAAGCGTGTGAGCCGGATCCCGCATCTGGTGCATCAGCTCGGCCATCTACAAGTGGAATGGGAGAACTCGTGAGTCACTTAAATAAAAGCTATCCTTGGGCTGATTAATATTGGAATTTGGCTTAGGATGGAAACAGTTTCAACGTGCTGTCAGTAAAAGAACAAAGACTCATTTCCTTACACAGTTGTATGGATGATTTTATGGATAGCCTTGACTCCGACTCCCCTACTTGATTTCCTTTCGCTATGCAATTTTGTGCTGTTCTTGCCATAACCTGAAGCAATGAACCATTAAACCTTTTGGGACTTGGTCTTGGACTACTGCTGAAGCTTCTACAAATCCTCCCGTAGCTCAGAGAGAAAAGTGCACAAGAGAATTGCATGACGAATCATGATTCTCTCCACAAGTCTGGCCTACTCCTGCTGCTCTATCTATTCATGGACATCTGAATAAGGCTGTGCGAATATATCTTAAGAATGGTTTCCCATCTTCCGTGACTCAGTGATCATGTTCAATGCTCATGGCGCCGACATCGCGTCTGCCCTGCTCTAGTGGTGCCCTCCCCCATAATGACTGTACACCCCTCCCCGTATTGCAGTTGAATGCATCAGCTGCTGCCGGCGTGATGCTGATGAGGCACTCGTCGGTTCTACTCGCTGGTGTTCATTCAGAGAGCGGTGGAGCCTGCGCCTGCTGCTGCCCCCTTGCCACTATTTTGGGTTCATTGAAAAGCTGCCAAAAATGTTTGCAGCGGCTGCCAGCAAGTTAAAAGTCCAATGCCATCCCCACACTCGGGGCATGCAGCTGTCTGTCAGATGCGTTTCTTATACGTATATACATATGTACAGATACATACACACAACTAATTGTAATTTATCAGCAATTTTAAGGCACAAATTTAAGCAAACAAACGAAATAGTTATCTTCCCAAATTGATTTCAATTTGAGTTCTTCTCTTTTTTGGGGATACGAGGAAGAGATTCCTTGATCAGCCGTTCGCCGAGTGATCGTGACGTCATGGGTGTACCAAAATTGACCAAAAGACACATGGTGTACATTGTACATATATCTAAGCGTATAGTTTTATATACCCTAAATAAATATATACACATTATATATATATCTATTTTGATTTCTGTGGCACGCTTGACAACGCGTGTTTCCCCAAAGTGTGCGCCAGTAAATCTCTTTTTTATTATTTTATTATTATTTTTGTTTACGAAAACAAGCACACCGCAGACAGATATGTACATATACATATACATGTGTACATATGTACATAAATAATGCAGAAACGCTCACAGGAATCCAATTCAACGTCACGTTCGCGTCGCGTTTCACTCGCTGCCTTTGTGTTTTTTGCTCGTTTTACGTGTTTGCAACATTTTCTTTTCATTATTGCAAAACTTTTTCTGCTTTCTGTTCCATTAAAACATTCATATTAAATGCCGAATCAACAGTAGTCAACCTATCCGAAACAAAAAAGAACAGACAAGCCTCAATGTCAGGCAACAAATTCAAATTCAAATTACAGGCGATTTACAGGCGATTAACAGGCGATTTGCACGCGCTTACATACTCGTACATATAATCTCCCGCGATTTTATGACATATTTGCGCCGCCCGCCCCCCAACCCACCCACTTTTTTGCGTTTCAAGTACGGACTACAAAGAGTTTAAGCCCCGAAACCAGGAAATGCAACTAAAAGAGCGAAAGCAGTTAACGACTGCACTAAGGTGACCTGCACATGCCCTATACACGATATGAATTAGCTGGAAAGCAATCAAATACAATCTTATATTTATTGCTGACGATTTGTATGTAAGGGAACATGAAGAACTTTTGTATAAATATATTGCTAGCAACAACATTCCAGAGGGGCTTGGGATATAAGAATGAAAAATGAGCTAAAAATTACACAAAAAGGAAACAAACGTGGAATTATTATGTATATTTCTACTTTTATATTCATTTTCACGATATAGACAATATGCGGAAATACTGATACTCTCATGCAAAGCCTACAACAACAGTAGGACCATAGAGCTAACCTTAGACCTAACAAAATGTATGAGATTAATCAAATTATAGCATTAAAGTTCAGCAAGCGATTACAAAAGACAATTGGCCTGTGAGAGTCTCTCGTTCAGCTTGAAGCACATATAAGCCAGGCCAAAATAAACTATATGAACATATGTATGCATCTGACCTGATGTAACTGAATCTACAGAATTAAATGTTTCGTGTCATCACTTTCATGTCATACTTTTTGCCGCTAGAACTTGACGCGTCTGCTGTTATCGCAGCTCGTTTGCTTCGATGTTTTATGGTTTTTGTTTGCAATTGGAAAACTGTAATGGCTGGGTGTCTGGTGAATAGTAAAACATGGTATCGGACCTTGCATTTTAAAGAGTTGTAGCAGCTGGGCTGGCCTCCCTGGAGCCGAGCTCGTTGAACCCATCGACAGACCCACACCCAGTACCAGTTCCAACCCAGAGAACCATTCAATTTGACGACAGCAGCATCAGTGCAAGTGTGATAGCAAACCTCTAACGAGCTTGTTTACATTCGATATAGACTCGATTTACGGTCAAGAATTTATGCAATGCGTTGCGTTTCCTTGCCAATTTGTGCTGCTGCCGGGTTCGATCTGTTCCGGCCCATTTAAACAAACAAAACAACATTCAGCTCCCTAGTGTTACGAGTAATACGAGTTATGTGTTTATACATTTGCAGAACAACTGCCGAAATGCGATATTTTGTTCATTTTAATTCGTCTTTTGGTATCTGCCATTTCGTTTTCCACGAACAACCTTGCACTGAATGTTGGACTTTGTGCCATACTTGCAGTCAGAAGCTAATGTGACGCCAGCGCGTAGCTTGAATTCTAGCTTTCTATGAGACTACGATAATATTTCCTTGTCCTGCAATTTGTGACCGGTTTCTCAAGCGGTAGAATACAAATCAAATACTAGAAGCCGGGCTCTGCAATAAACAATAATTCAGATTCTGCTACGTCAATAGCAAGTAATTAAGCATTTCAAATCACGTTTTCCGGTCTCCAAGCTAACCACTTGAAGCTGGTGCAACTCCTTAACTTGCACAAAAAAATAAAACACCAAGGGCAGGAATTGTTGAACAACTTCTGAGGCCCTTCAAAAGGGGAAAGTTAAGTCAGCGCAAAAAGTTAAAGCACTTTTTCCTTTACCAATTGTGACGCTCTTTCAGGCCACCACAGACGCCATGGCCATGGTCAAGAGGAAAGTTTTTCTGGCGCCTATGGCTGCTTAAAGTAATTCCCTGACCCTTCGGACACTTGGCACGCGCAAGCAATTTAATTTGTTGAGAGAAGTTGAGGACGAAGGATAGGATGAACGGATGGAAAATGCAGAGAAACACTTTATATGGTAATGCCCAAGATGGGAATTTTCAAGGCATTTGCATTGGAATTGTCTCTCCTCTTAAATTTCAATCAAATTCATTATAGGTGGAGAGAAACGATATCTACATGGTGTCATAGAAACGATGCCATGGCAGGGCGGAGGACCGCCTCAAGGGTAAATCAATTAATGACAAGTGGAAGTCGGGGTTGGGTAAGAGATAGAGGGAGAGAGAGAGACCGCGAGCGGTGGCTGGAGCGGCAGTTAGCTTTTAGCTTGGCCTAAACGCTGCAATTAGTTGGGAACAAAAGAACAAAGCATTCAAATCACAGCGGTGCATGCATAACAAAGCCATTGCATAAGACGGCACAAAGACACAGAGAGGCAGACAACAACAACAGGAATGAAGTAAATCGCACGGGCAACCGAATTGAAATCAATTGAACGGATTGAAACCGCTCTGTATTCAAATTTCTACGTACGGCCCGGCTCTTGTTGAGCACAGATGCATCGCTGACCGAGGTTGTCAGGATGGTGTCCCGGTGGAACGGCACAGTGAACATATTGATGCTGGCTGATCCTTCGGCGTGACTGGATTCCGTCCCTACTTACACTTGCAAATTCTAGCAGCAGCTTAATGCTATCACAGATTGTATTTTGAGCGTGTTTTCTCTCTTGTTTCTAGGTCAAAGTTTGAATTTCTGTATCAATGTTAAAATTCAACTCGTTTTCTTTTTCTGATTCACAGAAGTTCTTTAAGTTATGAAACTATTGCGGAAAATTTCAAAAAGTAGTAATTATTGATTTTTTATAATTATTTTTGCTGATTTATTTGATTGGCTTTTAATTTTTGGCACAATAACTAAGTTTTATTCACTTTTGATTTACTTTTTATATCGCATTAAATATGATTAATGAAAATGATTAGCACCATTTTGAGTTTTTATTTGACAAATATTTGCAGCTTTTATGTGCAGATAATTCATTTTTTTCTCACACTTTTTTCAATGGAACATTTTTGGCTTTTTATATCCAAATGTTGATTGTTATTCTTTGTGGTTGTTGTTTTATTATTAGCAAATTCAATTTATTATCACATTATATACTCATAGTCGTATGTATCTCACACACCCCCCATTTCAGTGATCCAAATACTACGCGAATATCGACTTGGGACGTGTATCCGCATAGACCGGACCTTACACGATGCCCATTTACTTTGAAATGACCATCAAGGCCCGTGACAAGTGCGAACCGTGTGTGTTTCGATGGCCAACAGATTCCCGCGACTAACGAAAGTATTTTCGAATTTCGAACAAACAGTCGCGGCGCAACGGATCAGCTGTTGGAGAGAGATAGAGAGAGAGGGAGAGGGAGATCGGGAGATCGGGCGATCGGGCGACTGAAAGAGCGGGATATCGAGAGGGACTGAAGGGTCAAAGTACAGTCTGCTGCGCTTGGCTGCCCGATAAATCATTATAATTACAGAAAGGTTCCCAAGCTGCACTTGTCTCTAGTGTAACCAATTTGCGAACGAGAACCTACCGCCTCAGGGGAGTACCGGCCTCAAGTACCGATAATAGCACATACAATGTCAGTGTGTATTTATAACTGTATAGATATACAAATACATGTGTGTATGTATGTACATATGTAGTTTGTGCATTTGTTTATCCATCTATCTTCTATCTCTATGTAAATGTCTTGCGCCCCTGCTAATTGTCGCGTTAATTGACTTTGCTTTGGGTCCGAATTGATTTCGATGTCGAGATGTTTGCGAAAGGCACTTTACGGACAGCCGCTATACTCGTACAATATTTGGGCACAATGAAAGCCTATTCAGATTGAATGCCTCTGCTCTGGGACTCTGGGCGGACAATTCCCAAGTGAACTTGATGCAAGGTCGAAGGTTTACCTTAACCATTTCATTATCATGCATCCGATCCAGTTGCGACTGACTCCACGAGCAGAATGTTTCTCAATTGATTTGTTTATCTTCTGGTGGCATTTCAATTGAGCGAAAAATATGAAACTTATCGATATGTCAAGGCAGACCGAAAAGTTTATGTAAATATGTATATGTACATATGTGTATACATATATGTATGTATTTTTGTTTTGGCTCTTTATTTCGTTGGCGTGTTTCAGTAGGAGATTTATTTTTATTTTCTATACGTTCTGTTTTCGAGTTTTTATTTGCTAATCACTTTTTTACACTTTTTGTTTGAAGTTCTGTGCACCCCACGCTAAAATCAAGTTTCTATTTTTTGTGTGCCGTTCCACCCGAACAATGGTAATGCTTTTAGCCCGGTTTGTGCGCAGTAACTCGTATTTATTTATTTACTATATGTTTATTATAAGTATTTCCATATCAGCTTTTTTACTTTCAGCCAGCACTTTCGTTTGGGGTAGCTCTCGCCGCCTTCGAAGCGGAGCGCACACGCGGTTCGATTGCCGTCAGACAACTGAGGGCAGCAGCGGCAGATCCCCAGCCAAGCAATGCGACAGCCGCAGACATGGCAGCCACAGAAAAAGCAAACAACTGAACGAATAAAGCGACCTGCGCATGCGAAATCGAAGAAGCTACTTCAGCTACACAAGTGAGAGCAGCAGAGAGCGACTGGGAGTAGAGAAATGCAGAGATATTTCAAGAGAAATGGAGACAACGCTGCGAATACTTGATACGCGGTTAATAAAAACATAAATTATAACCGTTCCACCGTTAACAGACATCCACCACCTGCCATTTGCCCATGGAAACGGCAATCAGCGGACACACAATCGATTTTTCGTTGATCTGATCCATGGATGAACCATTCAATGCAATAAATAAATATTATCTTCTCTTCTGGCTACAAGGATAATGGGGGAGAGCAATACTTTATCTATATGACTACGGTCGAGGTGCAATAAGCAGAAACTATCAGTTCTTCCCCATAAATGGCAGTGAAAATCGAATATTCAGTAATCCAAGTGCTTATTCAGATGCATTCAAACATCTTTTATTTGCAAAAAGTTGACAAAGTTCATCTTTTCAGTCGTTTGCTACCCAAGTGAACGAATAAACTGAAATTGAACAGGAAAGTGGCTCTAAAATCAATCAAAAAGCCAGGCAGCATCAGGAACCAACAGCTACAGAGCGAACAGAAGAGACCGAATATAATCTAATCATAGTTCAAGTTTTAGATACTTTTTCGTTTCTAAATGGACGACAAATTCAATTTGTTTGCCAAGTTCCTCCTCACTGGGGAGATTCGACGAGCGGAGGAACATTTTGCATGCAAAACGAGGAAACGAAAGTGAGAGGCAATTATTGTAAATAGAGTGGTTCCCTACCCACCTCCCCTACCTTTCTATACACCTTCCGCCCTCTTGTATATTACACAAGTTTCAAAGAGTTTTTTGTGGCAGAGTCGTTGCCCAAGAATAGGCCAGAGCCATATAACTTTACGCCGTGTACGGGATATGGCATTCACGTAACTCTACCAACAAATGAAGGTCTGAGTTCTTTGTGTGTAATGGGATTGCCCAACAGTCTCCCAGTCTGTTGACAGGACAGGACACAGGTTGCATGAACACAGAGATGGCCATTTGCTTTTGGTGGGGATGAGTGGCCCAAAGTTTAAACAGGCGAATGGCAGCTCTGCGTCATGCGTCATTTAGCAAAGGACACCGTACCACCTGCTAATGATGCACAAGGACACTCCACAGCAAACATAACATAACAGAGCAGAACATTGGCCAGGCGATGGGCAAAGCCCTTAAATATTTATGAGCTTATGATGTGGTTAAAGTGCCGCAGTTGCTTCGGTGCCCCAACAGCATGCAAACGCTTATCAGACTCCCTCTGCCTGCAATTAGCTTTTAGCATTTTCTGCAAGCACTTTCCTAATGGTTACCCCAAACTCACCGCCTAATGGCATAAGATTCTGCCTCACTTGTTAAAGGATGTGCCGCGGGGACAACTAGGCATTTGCGTTGAGGTGGGCTCTGCCATTGATATGCCTTATTGAACCCAGGTTAAGTTAAAGCAATGACCCAGATATCTCAAATCAAAGCAGCTGAAAGTTTCAGGCAACAGACACAGAACGAGGCCAAACTCTGCACTCGCCGCGAAACGTTGCTATCAACAATCAGGCGAGGTCCACACCAATGCCAAAACACAGGTTCACTAACGTGGCTAAGGGGGAAATCTGACATGGCTTAAAACGCTTTTGACATGCAATGAGCCAACAACAGGAGCAGCGCACACACAGCACATGCAACATCCTTTAGAAATTACGCTTAAATGAGGTGAAAAAGTGTTCAATGAAAATACAAAAAACTCGAGCTTTGATTGTTGCCAAACAACTATACAACTATTCTCTGCAACAAAGTATGTTGCAAGTATTTATGTACATGTGTACAAACATATGTATACCGTATGCCAATGCATCCTAAAAGTATGCAAACAAAATTTCTTTGCTCTAGCATTAACCTTTCCCGAAACGACAGGTCAGTTTACATTTGTTCCTTTGGGGTTCACTCTAGCCATTATAAGGATACGATAGCCATGTAATTCTGTGGGAATTACTTACAATTGTCTCTTACAAACATTTACATGAATTTTAAATATATATTTGAGTGCCTCAATGTACAATGCATAAAAAAAACAAAAATCGGAAGTTTATCCTTCCATGAGTTGCAAATTTATCGATTTCCATAACAGTTTCATAGTTTGCTTATTTTGTAATAGTTTCCCTTTCAAATTACGAACTGAATTCTATCAGAATTAAATTCAGAAAATCTAAATTTTTCACCCCATTATGCCACAACGAGAGGGCGTTACCGAACTCGAGCTGCAGAGCCAGGGAATGAATTTGCTTTTGGTCTGTTCATCCGAAATTAGAATTTTGCGTGTAATTTGGTTTTTGGGGGAAAGGTTGGTTGGGGTCGGGTCGGGCCGGTCAACACTTCAGCCATGGTTTAGTAGAAGGGCCTTGGGAGTGGGAGTGGAATCATAGCTCCTGATGCCAGGGGCTGAGCTGTTGCCACTGCCGAAAATACCTAAATCGGTTGATTCTCTTTTTGCGTTGCGAACTGTTTTAATTAGAAATGCAAGCGGAAGTCAATTTATGGCGTGCTGTGTGCCCACCACTACTTTCGCTCAGGGGCAGGTTGAGACGTCTAAATAAAACACGCTCCTGGGGGTTTCGTGATATAGAAAAAGGTTCATAGAGTTATTGGTTAGACACAATGTTTGGTTTTTGCTTGAGACCAATGTTATTTGGCAGCCTCCTTGCCATTTGCATGTTCCATAGCTGAGGTATTTGCCAGAAACATTGTAAAATTTTTTTATTTCAATTTCTGGTTTCTCAGTTTGAACTTTTTGATAGTTTACGGAATGAGAGTACCATTAGAACCAGTGCTTTACGGATAATAGCATTGTGAAATTGTTTCGAACCACAGAAAAATCGTTTCGATAATATTCCCTCATTTGTTCCTATCTTACTTCCGCCACAAATCGGTTAATTTTTATGAAAAAATTAATATATAACTGATTAACATCTCTAGAAGTCAGTTCATTAAATAGAATAATTTAATTCTTCTTACGTGGTTGCCTTGTAATATTGAAATCTCGTTCCTCTGTTACCTTCACCACCTTTCAGAGACGAACTGCAACTGAGAATGGACAATGGCAATAGACATTTACCTCTGGTAGTTTCTGCAACCAGAAATCGTCGCTCATTAAGCATCCCGAGCCATTGTTCAACCAACAAAGACACAAAACCTCTAGAGCTTTAGAGCTCTTCCTCGCCCATTCTGTGCAATTTAATCCAAGTAATTTTCATGGAAAACCATTGTGGGATGCAACTTTTGCAAACATTTCCATTTGAGAGCATTTCAAAAGGCCACAAACTGTCCACACGTGCATTCCACATGGTTCCGACATACAACAGACACACAACTGACACAATGTCGGCCCAGGCTGTCGACAACTTTTCCCATCCGTCATCCGGTTTTCATCTGGCTTTCCTCGGGCTTTGCGTGAGAGCTGAACTTACCTCCTCGATGGTTTCGCACTCAAACAGATAAATGTGCAGAAGCGGATCCTTGGGATCCTTCAGCAAGTAGACCAGTCCTGTGATGGGTCCTTGAAATTCCATGAAATTCTGCGGCTGCTCCGCCGCTCCACTCCCATCAGCAGCCGCTGCCGCAGCCGCAGCCGCCGCCGCCGCCTGCTGTTGCTGCTGCTGATAAGCGGAAGCCGCGCTGGACGAGAGCGAGCCGTAGGATGTGGATGCGGTTAGGGTGTGCCGCAGTCCGTTTGCGGCCAGCGAGCTGCTGCCGCCACCAGGCATCGAGGAGGTGGCGGCGCACGAGGAGCCACTGCCTGCTGCCTGGCCAGCGTTAGATTTGAGCTGCAGAAATCCATTGCCGATGCTCTTGGCCTGCGGCTTGTGTATGATGCGGCACATGCCCACGATGTGCTTCAGGGGATGGCTGAACTGCAGCTCAAAGTCCGAGTTGTATGACTCAAGTATGCCATTCTCAATGCCCACCGATAGCTGCAAGAAAAACAAAGAGATTCGGGTATAAATAAAGCTGATCATAGAACATAATAATTCTTGTGAAGGAGCTACGTTTCAAGTGGAAGGTAATCAGTAGTTCGAAATGTAATTCCATCATTACAGAGATCCAAATGAAAACCATTTTTCTTTCATTTTGGCAGAGCAGCAACTAGAGAGATTAACCACGTTATGACAGCGTTTGTTAGACAGTTTCCACTAGGCGAAGCAGATTAACAGTATTAAATTCGTTTTAATCAGTTTACATACTTGTCTGCACAAAAAGAAAAGAGTGAAGAGAGAGGCAGCAATGACAATGTGACATGCCTGACAACATGGCAACATGGCAACATGGCGGCTGCTCCATTTCCGGCAGTGTCCTCCGCATCCGCCTCCACCTCATCAGCCGCTGCTCTGCCGTTCTCTTTTTTTCTGGTTTTATTTTCGTTTCACATTTTGTTCTTGGCCCCTTTTTATGCTAACAACTACGAATACCAGAGAGCCTGGTGGCCAGGGAGTGTCAACAACTATGATGATGAGGGTGAGGGTGAGGTTGGGCGTGTGTTGAGGAAATTGGGTTGACTGCTTTGGGTCTAGTAGCAAGGAGCATGGGTAGGGGCAGGGTAAGGTGTGTCGTTGTTGTGGCGGTATTACCAACTACAGGCGTCAGAAAAACAGGTCGTTATGTTTTTTAGCCCCATTGGGGGGGATCTTTGCACGAGTATTCTACTTCTGTATACTGGAACACGCAGTGGGAACGTACAGGGGCTGGCAGGCAGGGGATTTTCCTTTAGTTTTCCGTTCTCAAGGGTTTTAAATGTGGGAAATGTAAAAATATAACTTATTGTTATGCCAATTTAGTTCATCGTGTGTTAAAAACCATCCATCTACAATTTAAAAAATTTCTTTAAATAAAATCTCACATTTCCATAATTAAATATCGAAAAGAATATTCCCTTCCCATGGCATGTCGAACGAGAAGGCGTTTATTGCCACTGGAAGAGCTCTGACAAAATGAAAACTTTCTCTGCGCAAATTAAATTAAAATCAAAGCGAAGTAAAGTAAAGTGCTGGGGTGTGTTTGTGTGTTGAGGCGGATCCATGGCATCCACGGGACATTGGGCGTTAACTGGAAAAACTAAATACTAAGAAAAACAGAAAGGAAAACTTTTTACTCAAGCTAAGGCAAAGAGAAAAGAGTCAAATAAAGAACGTGTCATGACTGAGAGATGCCCTTACACACAGGAATCCTTTGCTTGGGGGTAAGGCAACAATTAAAGGACACCTTGAGTGATGTCAATTCCACGCTCTACTTAATGCTGGTATATCCTTCTTTTTAGGGTATAGCCAAAGAAAGTGCTGCTGCGGGAGCACGACTAATGACTGGCGCTTCTTGGCAACCTGGTAATCATTAGGGCCGTAGCAGCAATGCCTTGGGCGCACTCCCCAGATTCGTTTCACCGTTTGGCATTTAATTAAAATTTGGAAAATGTCTGACACACATATGGCAGCACTTAAGAGGTGGCCACGACCGTGACAATCTGTTTTAATTAATTTTTGTACTACACTTGACGAAGGAGCGATTTGTGCTGTCCCTTGCAGAACATTCAGTCACTCTGCTGCTGAATTGAATTGATTTACTTTTTTCCTTTCAGCACACAAACAAAACGGGGATATAGAGGATATTTTGTATTCCATATTTTGCATGTTGTATAAACAATATAATGGAACTTGTGACGCACGTAATACGTAATATGTTTTGTTTTGTTTTTGCCCCGGTAGAACAATTGACGGCTTGACCTCTTTAAACTTCCTCCCTCGCACCACCACCTTACTCTGCCTGTCTCCCGCTATCCACGGCTAATTGGAGGAAAAAAATGTCACGTTTGTGTAAGTAATTACACGAGTTTGTAGAAAGATGTGCACGATTTGCCTTAGAGATGGCCGCATGTCAGTCACGAATATTTGAAAGTGTACAAACAAACTACAGTTGTACCTGTGAGATGTTATTTAAATAAATGTATTTCTTACTAATACTAAATCACTGCAGACTGGGAAGTGTTCAAATATTAATTCCTTTTAAACATCCGAATCTTATACTTATTCATTCGAATCATATTTATTGCCGAAACACAATGAAAACAAGATCCCGTGCCTAACTCTCACGATCGCTCAACACGAGTCCACCTCTAGTAATATTTGCACCTCGCTCTCTCGTCGCTTCGTAGATATTGCTGTCCAGCTCGCACGCACATCCACTTCGCCGTGAAGTGCAGTTAAAAGCAATGTCAGAAACAGCTGCGGAGAGAAATTACTGCTGCAGTTGTTGCTTTTCCCTTTGCTGTTGCTGTCATTAGAATGACGCTGACGTTGCCGCGGACTTCGCTGCCAGCGCCAAGCGTCGCGTGCTATCGGCCAGTGATTTATACATTTTAACCGTTTTTTCCTTGCGTTTCCATGCGGCAGCAGACGCCGGCTGCCGCTGTGGCTGTTGCTCAATAAATTGTCCACAATTGCTCTGTACATTGCTCGTTGTTGCTGGCACACTGTAGCCATATAATTTGCATTAACTGCATTTACGTTGCTGCTTCTGCGGCCACTGCTAACGCCTTAATAACGAGTTGCACGCCTGAAATACTACAGCCAAGGGGTCAGGTACAGAGACCGGTATCTGACAAAGAACTATTTGATATAGGGATAAAGATATAGGGAAAAATATGGATAGACACTCAATTAAATAGAAAGGAGTTGACTTTGATTTGTTTTTCCATTTTGACAGTTGAAATCGAGCATCGAGAATTTCCGAACGCAGTCAGCAGTCTGACTCAAGCCAATTATACTTTAGGCATCCAATAAACAAATATTACAAATAATATATAAAAGTATGTCGCAGATGGATGACCAGAGCAGGCTGATGGCCGAGTTCTCCAGCCAATCCAGCGTGGGTCCGACGGCACGAATAGGCAAGCAGCAGGACGTGGATCTGTGGCACGACTCGGAGGCATACCATGAACTGATTGCGTACATCAACACTGTGAGCACAACCATTCAGGGCTTGAGGCTGAATGGCAACTACCCCGTCAGTCCGGCCATCACACGGCTGGCGGGCATCTTCGACCAGCTGGAGGTCATGGTCCACGCGAATCCCCCCACCGTGGTGGACAACGCGGCATCGTTCTTCAGCTGTATCGAGCAGGGGAACAAATCCTACCGCCGCTGGTCGCGCAGCATGCTCCGGGACATCTACCAGATGGTGGAGAACGCGTTGCCCGCCAGCAAGTGCTTCCACGTGAACGAACTTGGCGAATACCTGTCCGGCTCGTTTGGCAATGCGACCAGAATCGAATACGGCACCGGCCATGAGCTGAGCTTCCTCTTTTTCCTGTGCTCCCTCTTCCGGGCGCAGATCCTGCAAGAGGAGGATATAGCCGCCTCGGCGTTGGTCATCTTCGCTCGCTACCTCAAATTCGTGCGACGTTTGCAGGTGATCTACACCATGGAGCCGGCGGGAAACCACGGAGCCTACTCCCTGGACACCTTCCAGTTCGTGCCGTTCCTCTGGGGCGTGGCTCAGCTGAGCTACGAGGCTCCCTTCTCGCCACGCCAAATGCTCGACGCGGACGTGGTGTCGCGCTACAGGTCGGAGTATCTGCTGATCGGCTGCGTCGGTCACGTGTCGGACACCAAGATGGGCCCCTTCGCCATGCACTCCAGCCAGCTGTGGAGTCTGGCCGCCCTCTCCTCCTGGTCGAAGATCCATCGCGGCCTGCTCTTCATGTACATGGACGAGGTTTTGGCGCCGTTCGAGATCATGCAGCTCATCCGCTTCGGCAAACTGATGCCCTTCAGAAAGGCTCAAAAGGGGCGACAGTTGGAGCAGGCTAAACTGGGTGTCATGTCCCCGTTGAGCCGTCGGCAGCTTGAACTCAGACTTGAGGAGGCGGAACAGCGGCAGAAGGACCCACCCGTGGAGCCACAAAAGAAGCCAGCGAAGTCTGTGCGACAGATCGGACCATGGAGCACGGAGTTTAGCGATTCGGAGAGCATTTTATTCGCTGGCTCTACCAGCACCAGCCTGACGGATGTCAGTGTCCATCTGCAATCCCCGTCCAAGGATGATGTTGAGGCTGTTGACACACAATTATAGTCTGGTGCAGTTTGTGGGTTTTTCGCATAAATAAAATTGAGTTGCAAGTTGTGGTAGGATTTCTCTTGGGCTGCAAGTCGGGGGAAACCAAGAAACGGATGTGTCAGCAGAGGAAATTCCTCACATGTCTCCCGTTTGCAGCTGCAGCTGGTGACTCGAGTGGCAGTGTTGTCAAGAGACCGAGACAAACATGGTTCCAAAAATCAGCAGACCACAAAACGGAGTCCCATCAAATGCAAAACGTCAGCCAGCCGGAAAGTGGAGTGGATGGGCGGCAGAGGAGTAGCTGGGAGTATAGCGCATACGCCTCGTGGGCCAGAGCAACACTCGAGCAATTACGGCAGTGTGGAAGCCTGACGATGATAAAGTGCGAAACCATTTATGCCACTGCAGAGACCACCAAGAAGGCAGCAGCGAACGGGAGGGGACGAGGCTCAAGTGACTCGGTCAAAAGCGGATTACCAACGGGACTTGAGTGACTTCCCTCCGGAGCAGGCGACAGGCACCACAAAAGCACCAAAAGTGGCATCAAAGAAAGAGCCAAAGCAAAATAAGAAAATGAAAATGAAACAAGCGGCGTATTGATTTTTTTTTCCTCCCTCTACTCTCTCCTTTCTCTCCACCTCCCCTTGTTGCCACAACTTCCTCGCACTGTGACGTCAATGAATGGAAGCACGCGCCGAGAATGTGTGCAAAAAACACGGACTCCGACTCGTTTGTGGGCCTTTTCCCAAGCCACCTGAAAGGCACCACCACTACCTGAAAGTGTTCCCTGTTCAGAGATGGTCAAAACAGACATCGAAGAGTATGGATATGGGATATTCGGATCACCTTAGTGTATAAATATTTAGTTGTTCAAATGAAAGAAGCCACGTCTAGGGGTCTGAGGATCCAGGTATACCTTTTTCTTTTAACTTTTATTACCATGGAATTGTGTAACATAAAACCCGTGACTAACGTTAGATGCCTCTGCGGACTTAATGCAATAAAACCCTCGTTAAATAATAAGAACAGATCTGTCCATGTATTAAACGATTTCGCAAAAATGCTGGAAGTTCTGTGCACCCAATCTTGTTCGTCTGTCATTATTTAATGTAAGCAAAAGCAAACAATCCCACTCAGGGATCCATCAATCTTTTTACACTAATTGCCAAACGATAAGAATAAGTTACACCGAAACTACTTACTATGTGGACAAAAAGTAACCCAAAATGTTTATTCAGCAACTTGCACTTCGGCCTTGAATTTTATAGCCTTTGTCCATTCAGGCGTCACGTCATCGAAGCGAAGCTGACATAAAACTTGCACCGTGCCGGCACCACGCTTGTGGCACAGTGGCAGGGGATTTATTTTCTTTTTTGGTGCGGTGGTTGGGTGCCCCCCAACCATCCGTCTGTCCGTTCGTTCGACCAAGAAGGCAGCTCTTGTTATAATTTTCATGCGCTATTTAACATAATAAAGCAATAAGCAGCCACACAGAGGAAGAGGAGGAAGAGGAGCGTTGGCAAACATTTTTATTTATGCTGTCCCACTCGTCCACACGAGAGATTTTTCTCTCATTCTCTCTTGATGTCTCTTTCACTCCGGGTGCGTGTTTACTTAGTGTCAATTTACAAACAGCAGAGAGAGATGGAGTGAGGGGAAAACTAACAACTTTAATAAACAATTGCGTGCAGGCTTGAGTTAATATTTAAACAAGAAAATGCGAAGCGAATTATGGTAGCCTGGTCCCTCAAAAGTGTCAGCTTCATGGCACACAAAGTGGCAAAGAGACAAGTGGATTACGAGAGCGTGGATTAAGTGTCACTCTGGGCAGAGCTAATGGTTTGTGAAAATTATGTATCCAGGCTGTAAAATGCATAAAGTGCTCGTAATTATAGTTGCAGAACAGAAGAGCCTTCCTTTAAGATAGTATATGGATTTTCCTTTATTTTATTCGATATTTCCATGCCAATTTATTATTTTATAGTAGAAGCTTTATTAATACTTTCGGTATAGTCATTTCATAAATCGAACTATTCATTAACTGAACATTCCTTTTGTGTTTATTCGGGCTTGGGATATTATTAGCAATTTCCACTCAATATATACATATTTAAGCAAAGCCACAGCATAGTTTTGGATCGTTTGAGTTCCTCTTATTCCCCTGTAATCATACCATATTGCACCACGAGTAATACTCGTAAAAACGTTTTAGCACAACCGAACAAAGGACATTGAATTTCGATTTCCCACAGGATGCTGGCCAACTTAAGCTTAGACAAGTTTATAAACGACACCCTGGCTGTTTTGGTAAGCTTTGGGATGAGGCGTTGTGAAAAAAGTGCCAACAACCAACGACCAATCCCCAAGCCCGCTCCGGGTACATTCAATGAGCATCAACAACAATTGCCAACGGCAGGTGCAATCCCTCCAGTATCCCTCGGGGCATGGCCACAGGCACGTAGAAAGGATTCATTTTAATGCTGAACGGGGCGCAGCCCGCAGCCACCTGAATGAAGCCAAAATGGACAAAAGGAGAGACGTGTATTCACGCAGACTCTTTGCATAGCTTTTCCATGTCTGAGGTACGAATTAGAGCGGGATTACAGTGCGTTTCATGAGAAAATTTTTGAACGCTACAAATTACAAATATTTTTTGATTTTGAGTCAAAGGAGAATGTCGAATTTAATGGAATCTTCTTAATAACTTTAGATGTAAATAAATCCTCTAATTTAAACCTTAAACCTCAAATGTTACCTATCAAATAGGAGTAGTAGGTATCCTCTTGTCGAGATATCCGCTGTACCCATTGTACTTGTCTCTTTAACTGCATATTTATGTAGGATACAGAGAAGTACTCATATTAGCTGCTGGGCAACCCTCAGGGATGGCACTCACTCACACGCACATTTGATGGCTGGCTAATTGCGGACTTAGCTAAAATTAATTTAAACCTTCTAATAATATTACCCCCCTTGGCTTGTGGGGGGCGGAAGGTGAGTGCTAGCGAACTTGTTGCCCAAATGCCACCCTTCGGAGCAGGTGTTTTTGTTTGTGTGCTTCATTTATATGAATATTGTCACTCCCAAATCAGTTTGTGGACGTCACAATCGACCGTTTGCTTCTTCTGTCATCGTTTATCTCGGTTCTATTTTTAGGGATACCCCCAAAGAGCGCTCCCCACGGAACGGCGGCTATTGGTGACCCACCAATCGGAATAATTATCCTTTATGGAGCAAAAAACTATTAATTCAATTTCATTTACTTTTCGCACTGCCACTCTCAGTCTCCTGGCCCATTATTGATTTACTGAGCCGTAATAATTGCAAATTGCTTTTAATTGTTTTCGCCAAAAGGCAGACAAGTGATAGGAGATCCAGAGAGGACAATAAACGTAAATATGTATGTATTTACATAGTGCGATATTTATTGGATTGGATTACACCTTTGGAATGGCAGATGAGAGTCGCAGGCAGAGTTCTTTACAGACAGCAAGTGAAAATGGAAACAATCTGTGAAACATTGAATCATTTTTGAGTTGGCAGAAGATTTTACCAGGAATTAATAAAGTATTCATCATATTTCTTCATTATTTAAGATTGTTAATAGTTCTGACAAATTCGACGACCTATAGGTATACCCTAAGTATTATTCCCAACAACTCTGAGTGGTGATCCGCATAATTATCGGACTAATTGATTTGCCATTTTGTTACAATCCATACAATAACTATTTTATGTGTGAGTCAAATGAGTCTACTCAAACGCTATTTACCTCCCCCCATTCAGCCATAATTGATTACAATTCTGGTGATACTCTCGCTATTACCTCTTCAAGCAATCGAACTCACCTTTGTGTAACTCTCCGTGGAACGTATGTCGTTGATTGTCCAGGGCAGCATGGAGGCGGAGTAGCGGGGATCGACGGATGCACTGCCGCGATAGGTGAGCGAGACGAGACGAGTTTTCATCTTGCTCTGCTCCTTTGGTATGCTTTGGCTCGAAATCAAACTGAGTTACGTATTTTTATTGCACTTTGTTTACTGATGCCGCACGATAAATTGTTGAAATTGTAAGCCGAATCGAGTTGCGGACCATTTAGCTATGTATTTTGCATTTTATTTGCTGTGCAAATGGCTTTTTAATTGTTTTTTGTTAGCGTGTGCTGCTGCCCTGTGCAGGCTGCAATCTGCATGGCGGAGGGAGCAGAGTTGGAATCAATATTTAATGGAACTGTAGTAGGAGGCAGAGAGGGACGCTACAGGGGCATGGGAGTTGCTGATGGAATGCGGAGTTCGTGTTCTGAATGAGTCACCCGGGGGTATGGTCCTAGGGGGGTGAAGTGCTGTGCAGGGTTCGCGAACAACAGCCACCTGACTGCGCCACTTGTGAGATATGTGGGGGTATGTGCTGATGTCCTGGGAAACATCAGAGGGGAGCAGCGAAACTTACTATCAGTATTGATTTTTTTTTCTGCCATTCGACGTCTTGGTTTCCCCATATTCATGCACACACTCACACATTTACACAGAGACATAGACAGGGTCGGGAGCAGTGGCAGAAGAGCAGCACTAAATGGATGATAGAAGAAGTTGGAGGAAAGAGTAGACAACAAGCCACCCCCACGGCTAATGGGCAGACGGGCAGCCGTCGCCACCTGGAGCATAAGCAGCGCAGCGTCGTTGGTGGGGAGAGGGAGAGGGACTGAAAGAGAGAGTCCACCCCTAAAAGGGCCAATGGTGGAATTTACTTTTGCATAAACTTTTAACTTTTCTATGGTTTCCACACACATCTGTACACACACTCACGCACACCAATAGTTTACTTTCTTGCCTCTGTGTTGGTATGTTTATGTGTCACCCACACAGGCACAAACGCGCGAGAGATTTGCAACAATGAACAGCGAGAAATTAACACGGGGAAGTCCGCAGACAAGTTCCACTTCCTTGCACGGCTTCGATTCGATTGCTTCTTGCCTGCACGGCTTTGACAGTTCTCAGTCACTGCGTCCTTCGTCCTGCCGCCCATCGAGACAGACGCACTGCGCCGGCGCCTGCATGACAATGAGATTTGTTTATACGCGGCACCATCTGCTCTCTCACTCTGACGATCTTATTTTATTTAAGCTGGGTTTTATTTTGCATGATCACTTCACTCGAAACGACAGTTATGCCAAATAGTTTGGAGTTAGTTTACAAAAAACAATAACAAAATAGTTAAACAAATGCGCCGCATTCAGTGTGACCGCGGAAATATCGATAATATATACCGGATGACCATCGGAAATTTACCAAAATGTCAAAATATACTATAAATATACCTTAAATCTAAAATCATTTTCCTCGATTTTGATGTTCTATTTGATATTACCAGCTTGCAAAGACTTTTAACACTGAAACAATAATTTAATCCGTTTGAAGAATCAATTCGAAGTATTTTAAATACTCATTTTTATTGGATTGTATACCTTATGACCTTATATTTCACAAAAATGTATTTTAAGTTTTCCTTCAATTCACCCCTTCTGGAAGCAAGAGAGCCTTATGTTCAGTATGTAAATGTATGTAACATGTAGAGACACATGTATGTTTGAAAATAGCGCAAACAGCTGTTTTCTTCTTCTTCTGTTTTTGTCATTCACCTGTAAACAGCTTAACAAATGGTTGGTGCTTGCGCGCCAACTCTTGGAAACTTAAATTTTAAACTATTTTATTATATTTAAAATAATAATAATAATTCAATTCAAATGCTTTAGAATAGTTAATAATAATACTACATTTTGATGTTTGTACTTGTAGTTATGAAAATGACCATTAAACTTATATGTACAAACATACATACATATATATGTACATACATTCTCATTTCTTATCTTTGATCCAGCCCTGGTCGTTTGAGCCCCATCTTCTTCTTCTTCATTGCCCTACCTTGGCATACCTCGGCTTGGCTCAATGCCTCTTTTAAGCCAAGCCACCTTTTCATTTTAGCTGAAACTCGCTAAGCAACAGGTGCGCGTGCGCTGTCAACTTAACGTTTTCATAGATATTTTTCATCGCATTTGCTCTCGTCCCGTCTCTCAGCCCCTCCGTGGTGCCCTAGGCCGGCCGTTGATCGTGTGTGTTGTGTGTGCGTGCTAGAAGAAGAGACTTTCACTACGGGTCACTTTTAAGACTCAACCCCAAAGTCATCCACAACTCCAGCTCGCTGCGAGGCTTAATTAATGCGCTTCGCACGCGTTGTCATAGGCATATAGTAGGAGAAGAGCCTGAGCTGGAGACAGGGCCAAAGCCAAGCCAGAGCCAGAGACAGAGCCATAGTCGGCGGCCCCAAACGAGTTGTTGTGTTTATGGTTTTTACTCTGTGAGATTTCATGTTTTCGCATTCGCGCATACGCTGTGCTGTGTGTTTTGTGCTGTCTTGTTGTAATATCTCGACTTCTTTTCGTTAATTTCTCACCCAGAAAACAGAAACACAATAAGCCCGAGAGAGGCTCAATCTCCCAGTCCCCTCTCCAGTTTTATTTTTAGTGAGAAAAGGCACTAAAGAGATACATATGAAAAGAAAAACGCCAAAGACGGTTGTCGCGGCGGATTGAATCGGCAGAGTGGTACCGTTAGTCCGCGAGTGACTGTTTAAACATAATTTAAATAATGAGGAATCTGCGCTCGTAATTGATTTAAGTAGCGCAGCAGACAACAACAACACTAACAACAGCATTTGCCTATTTTTCCCCACTCTCACACACACACAGAGAAACAGAGGGACCACAGACACTTGTGGGGTGCTCTCAGACAAAGAGCGAGAAGAAAATTCGTTGCGCTTTTAGCTGCCACTGCAGTGCAAGCAGCAGCAAGTGCCATTTGTGTCGGTGTACGGATGAACGTGTGTGCGTGGTGCAGTCATGTGTGTGCACCAGTGTTGTTGTGTACTTAAATGGACAAGTTAGAGTCCACATTCCACACAGCAGAGAACAGAACAGAATAGAAAAGATCAGGAACAGAAACCGTGAGGAACAGCAGCCAACAATGACTGGCCAACAAACGGCATCTATTATTTCAAAATAATTGCGCATTCACATTCTCTAACCGATTGAAGACAGTGCACTCGATGTGAATTATTTGTAATTTGTGCTGCATCCAGTACGATTATTCTCTTGGGTTTAGCGGAAAATAGGTTCTGAGCCTGTGTAAAGTTATTTTACCTTCCACCTACACACACACATTTGCATTTTGTGTCAAGCCTCGAGAGCTTCGCGGCTTTTTTCTGGACCACACACATGTGTATTGAACTGAATCCATAACCCTGCCACTGATGCTCTGTTGTTGGCCTTAATTAGCATACGAGTAACAATAGACAAAAACGACAGCGACTTGACCCTCCGAGCTGAATGGGAGATTGAGCAGAAGAATGGTCACAGCAGTATAATAATAATTAGAACGGGCGAAAGGCGGCAAAGGTTGCACAGTGGGTTGAAGACTACTCCAAAGACTACTCGAGAGTGTAGTGAAGAAATAATCTGATTGAAAATCCGGTGTGACCAGGAAAAGAGTAAGATGGAATTATCAAGAAGGTCCCCATCCTCCAGGGGAAAGATTAATGAATGGGAAATGACAAAGATACGGAACCAGGGATAGGAACTCAAGCTAAAAATTCGAAATCCGCACATTAAAAAATGTTGAAAGTATTATTGTTAATGCCTAGATTCAAATTGAAGTCATATTTGAGGACATAATAGTATCCTCTGCTTAAAAAAAATGTTCAAATGATGTATGTATGTATTTATAAACATACATATGTAGAAATACATACATACATTCTCCATTGTTTACTGTAATAAATTAACACTCAAATTCTATTCTTCCGTCCGCCCACAGCCCTGGCGAGTGACGGAGGCCAGAAACTGTAAATGTAAATCCAGCATAAGCCAACAACAAAATACAATTTTCAAAGAATTCATAAGCACGCGCTAAAGCGAATACTAATTCCATGCAACCTCTACGCTCCGCTCTGTCCCGCTCCCCGTTCGATCTACGATCTGCCCCACTCGACCACAGCCAGCACCAGCACCATCACGGCCAGTGCGTGAGGTGTCTCGAAGCACCTGTTGTCGAACGACAATCGGAAAACGTAACCGACTGCCCCTGCGTGCTCGGGTTGCGTCTGCTTAGAAGCCGCACTCGCACACTTGGCCGCCTCCGGCCAGAAAAGAAAGAAAAAGACACAAAAAAACATACACATATAATAATAATAATAAAGAAAAAGAAAAAAATAGAAACGAGAAACGAGTAACAAGAAAACTGCGCTGAAAACCGGTTCATGTGAAAATGAAAGAAAACTTTTGTATTTATTTTTTCCTTGTGGATAATGTCGCTGAAGAGTTGGTTTTTCTTCTTTCCACAGTTCGAATTTGGTGAAATCAATGCGTAGAAAGTGAATCCGAGGTTGGCGCTGACGTTACGCAAAGCCGTGGAAAAGTGAAAAGCCGCGGAAAACCTGGCCGCTCTAAAATCGCACCAAAAGTGCAGCTGCCCATTTAGATATTCGGGAGACTGATACAATACTGATTGCCGTTGCGTGCGCCGCCTAAAATAGCTCCTAGGCTCTAATTGTCGGCTGTCCGACCGGAGCAACACCTGGTCGAGCGTCGGCCCCCTGCCGACAAAGAGCGGCCGCCGCATGCGTCTCATCCAAACGGCCACCAGCGGTGCTGCTGCGACTGTTCTGCAGTCCCACTCCCAGTCGCAGTACAACTACACCAACATGCGCGAAGATGATATCGAGCTGGCCATCAAAGTGGTAAGTCTGCAAAGACTGTTGTTAGTAATAGTTGATCCACAACCTGAGAATGGAAGCATGGACTCGAGAGGTTGCCCGTGGGCTCTGGCTGTCCAATTATAAAACTCTCCAATGATGATACATTTATAATTATTTGCGCCGATTGTTAACTAATTGTGCTAAGGTTAATTGCTCTACCAATAAATCAAGAGTTCTGCTTGATGTTCTGGTTATCAGCATAGAGAAAAGATGGATAAATATTAAACCAAAATCATTCTCTCTTCGCAGGTGATTGTTGGAAATGGTGGCGTTGGGAAATCATCGATGATACAGCGCTACTGCAAGGGCATATTCACCAAGGACTACAAGAAGACGATCGGCGTGGACTTCCTGGAGAGGCAGATCGAGATAGACGGGGAAGACGTGCGCATAATGCTGTGGGACACAGCCGGGCAGGAGGAGTTCGACTGCATAACAAAGGCCTATTACCGTGGGGCACAGGCGTCAGTGCTCGTTTTCTCCACGACAGATCGGGCCTCGTTCGAAGCCATTAAAGACTGGAAGCGCAAGGTGGAGAACGAGTGTAACGAGATACCCACGGTGATTGTCCAGAACAAGATTGATCTTATCGAGCAGGCCGTGGTCACTGCCGATGAGGTGGAGACCCTGGCAAAAGTGCTCAACTGCCGTCTGATACGCACTTCCGTGAAGGAGGACATCAATGTTGCATCCGTCTTCCGCTATCTGGCCACCAAGTGCCATCAGCTGATGAGCCAGAGCTACGACCAGACCGGCAGCCAGCAGCACTCGTCCAGCCATCCGCCCTACAACAGTACGCCCACAATCAGCGCCTTCAGTCCGACCTTCACCAAGTCCAGCAGCGGCACCATTGTGCTCCGTCCGGCCAAGAAGGGCAGCGGGTCCAGTGCGGCGCGGAAACGCAAAATAGTTCTCAAAAAGTGCGGCATCTTGTAAGGTAAGGGAATCATCGCAGGGGGATGATGCCTGCTCGGCAGGCAGTCAAGCAGGGAGTATGGATGGATGGATGGATGGATGGACGAGATGTTGGCAATTAATAACTGGAGCATCTTTAACGCTTAATTATTTATGAGCCTAATGAAGTTGTGGCCAGTTGCCAGTGGCCAGCCAACCGTTGGAAGCAGCCACTGGCACAGCCACAGGCACAGCCATTCACTAGTCGTGCACAGACTCCGCGTGATGTGGCCCAGACATGCTAGAAAGCAGCGATAATCCGAAACAGTAAAGAGCATCTTTGGGATACTCCTCGAAGTGCAGATACCCTTGCAGATATACCTAAACACTAAACGCATAAAGTATTTTAATAGATAGATAAAAGATGATTACTAAGTTGCTTTCACTTTGACAAGCGTACAAACCATCCATAAACCCCGCATCTGCACAAATACTTAGATCATTTTTATCTGACTAAATATGCATTTGATGCATAAACAACAGTATCCGCGATCGGAAAGGGTATCCGAGTTCTCAAAACCATAACCAATATGCATTGTCTTATGCAGCTACTCAAAAATTACCCTAATTAGCTATAGATATCAAATATCAAATCAGGATTTATTGTACTGATATTATGCCCCCCTTTTTCTATAACGGAGACTGATGCAGCAATGCGCCTCATATCGGATATGTATGTATATATACTTTCATATGGGCTTGTACTGGCCTAAGCAATTATTAAAATTAAAAGGCTATTTATTAACCACGCTAGCGCAGCCCAGATGTTCATGTGAGAATAGATCCCTCCGCCAATTAGCTTTGGAGAATGTGCAATTAATAATTCAGCTTATATAATTACTAGCTAATTGAAAGTCATGACAAGGCGCAATTCGGCTCGCCTTCACGTTCTATGCAAAATTCCACATCGACTCCGAGCGGAAAAATACTTTACTCGAGATAAGCCTGCACAAGAGAGGACAACTCATCTAACAAAATAACAAACTCTATACTAAGCCTACTCTCATATTGTTTTATTTAAAATATATACCATTAATAAATTATTTTGTATAAATTAATATTACATGGATCCACCCAAATAATGATTTTTTATCTCAAACAGCGACAAGGGTGGGCACGAAGAGTCGGGAAGTCATTCAGATTTATCGATCCGGCTACTGGTACATCCAAAATGGAAAAACTTCACACAAGTCAATCAAGTCAATCTTTCCAGCAATATCATCAGTGCGTTATATCCTTTACCGTGATTGAAGATACCCTCTATATTGGTATATTTATTAAATTTCAAACATTTGATTGTCATTGGAAAACTCTCCTGTGCCCTTTGTAGTCTCCAGTTACAAATAAAATGTGCAAATGTGCATGATGGAATCTTTTTTCTGAAATAAAATAAATGTCTGTTTTAGTTTTGAAATGTTTACCATTTTTTATTTGATTTTTTTGCTTTTACATTTCTTTTTTTTTTTAAGCTTGACAACTTTGCAATCCGCTTTTGTTACACCTTCGCTTACACATTTCCTCATTTAAATTGTTAAAGTATTATGTATATAGTTTTAATGTAGTTTTTGTGTGTGTTTATTTACAATTCGCGTTAAAAAAATCATCGCCTTATCACGCAAAAACCAATCAAGTGTTTATATCCTAAATTGTTGTCGTAATTTTCAAGTGTTTCCTGGCTATGAATAAAGGCATAAATAACTATTCGTCGATTTCCGATCTTAATTATTTACAAAAAGTCGAAAAATCAAGATACCCTAGATATAGAGAGGGAGGGGAAATAAAGTAAAGACTATTTGGGTAAGGCGGCCTGGAGGAGAGAAAGCTGAGCATAAAACTGTGTTTTGTTTTTTTTTTCCCGGGCTGAGCCCAATATATAGCATGTGAGGGTATAGGGTGTGTGTGTTCTGTGTGGGTGTGGGTTCTGGTTCTATAAAAATTCTATACAAAAATATCATTTTATCATCGCATCAATTATTTTAATTTACTCGCTACTGAACTAAGTAATGTGACTGTAAATTAACTTTCTTGGCACTTAAACAATCAAAAAAGAATCACTTTTAACCAAAAACTATTTGATTTGTGTACAATTTTTGATTACAATGTAATTGTTAGCGTACATTAATTTAACATGAAAATTACAGCTTGTAATGGGCGTGGGACTGTGAAGAAAGGAAGAGAGAGAGTAAGAGAGAGAGAGGCTCACTTCGAACTCATTTACAGAGGAGTCTTCGATTAGATTATAGTACATTATGTAGACAGACGCGGGCTACATTAGAACATTTTACGCTTTCGCTGTCGGTTTAGCTATAGTTATTGTTTTCCTTTTAAATAGATACATATATTCTTCACTTGGTAAACTTTAAATTATTTAAGTATGTTTATGTATAACTTTTCACGTTGCTGTTGCTGTTTTATTGGAGTTTTTTGTTGGTTGTTTTGTCTGTCGGGATCTGTGTTGAGGGTTTGTGGCCCTGTGGCTTAACTTTTAGGGTTTCCTTTCCTTTCGCTTCGTTTCGGTTCGGTTCCTACATAGAGTAAAACATTTATCCTAGATACACACGCCATATACATATGCATATACATATACGTAGTTATATATAGCTCTCAATTTTCGAATCCTATTCGGAAATGGGAAAATCGCCATCTGCCTCAGCGTCCTCCCTGCCTTCCAGCGAACGGTACTCGGTATCGGAGTCCTCGCTTATGGCCGTCGTACCAATTGAGATTGGTAGCATGGGTGCTGCTGGCTCCTCCGTCCTAACAGCCGCAGTTGGTTCTGGAACCGGGGGAACATAGATGGTAATGGGTTCTGGGTCTTTTGCATCAGCATTCTCCTCCGACACTCCGCTTGCTGGTTCATTCGGATTCCGATCCGCAACAGGCGCCACCTGAGCTGCAGTCACCTCATCCTGTTGCTCTGGTTGTTGTGTTAGGGGTTGTGTTATTATATCAGCAGAGGCCAACAGTAGATCCAGTTTAAGTTTGCTCGATGCCGTTGGCTGCTCTGTTATCACAGACTGTGCTTGAGTTGCTGCTCCTGCTCCTGGTCCTGCTCCCGCTGCTGCTACTCCTGCTACTGCCGCTACCGTTGGTGCCGTTGGGACCGTTGCCATTGCTGTTGCTGTGCCGCCAGCAGCAAGCAATTCATCTTCCTCGCTCACACTAATGTAGCGGCAGCGCTCGCTTAGCAACGAAGCGGACTCATCGTCCTCCTCATTCACGCTCGTGATGCTCACAGTGCGCTGCTTGAAGCCCGGATAGACGCTGCTTCCAGACGCGCTTGGCGCATCGATCACATCACGAGTCAATGCTGGCACCGATGCTGAAGAAGAAACAGTATAATTAAATTTAAGTACACATAACAAACGTAAAAGCATTCATTGTAAAGTAGTGATGACGATAAACTGATGTTTTGAACCCTTTTTCCTTTGACTTCCGACCACTCGATAAGAAGTAGCAGCGCCAATATTAACGAGGGGTACGCCGTCATCTTATGATTTATGTGTCAGCTTTTATCCTTTTAAATTGTCTCTATCTCTGTCATCTCTCTCTCTATCTTCTTTCACCTAAACGCTGTTCTAACTCGATCTCCTCCACCTCCTCCTCCACTGCACAAGGCAGAGAATGCAAGAGGCGAGGAGATGGGTTTTATATGGCAAATTAACTTGTTCATTCTGTCTATAATAATGATCTGGCCTTCTACAGTCGTTCTGGTAGATGTGGCTTTAAGCTCTGAGAACGAGGCACGAATCAGGAGCGGCAGGCATACATGGCTATAGCGACTCGGCTATTGACGCTGTGCAGGAATATATAATTTATGGGGTCGAAAATGTTTCCTTCTGTGTATCGCTTAATATAATGGAGATACGACAGATACGTCTTCCTTGCGAATGCTGTCATTTGCATACCCGCTCCACCAATGCCGTCTTTCTTATTATAATTTCCTATGCATCTCTCCTTGCAGTTACTTACATTCCAAACGCTCCCGTCGTGAAGCATTTCGAGATGGCATGGGCGCAAGCTTGATCCGATAGAACTTCGAGCCCCTGCTGACGTGGTACCGATTGTCATCCTGCAAAGAAGGAACACTCATTAGCGATCGTCCTGGGAGAGGAGAGGGATGATGCTTACCTTTCGCGCCTGACAGTACTCCTTGTCCACAACCCGCCCAATAGCATAGTACGGCAGAGGGATTTGATTCAAATCCGCTGCGGCCATGTGCACGGGCACAGCCACGGAGGCATCAGCAGTGCCCGAAGACGGGGCGAGTGCGTTTGGAGGGGCCAACTGGAGGCCAGCCAAACTATCCCCATGGACAAAGTAGAGTGTGAGCGAGTCCTGTACGACCATGAACTGGGCATGCCGCATGCTCCACACTACAAAGACAAGATCGCCCCTGGAGCAGCCCTCTAGGGCAATGGACCGCTGACTGGAACCGCCTGTTGACTTGGAACGGGTCAGTGTACCGCCAATCGAAGGCAGATCGTAGCTGGAGCTGCAAAGTAAGAAAAAAACAGCAAAATTAGTTGAATAAATCGATGGAAGAATGCCATGCCGTTGTCCTCCCGGTCGTACCTTTTCATGGCAGCCACACTTGTCTCCATTTCCAGGCGCTTGCTCTTCTCCTGGTTTAACTCCTCCTCGAGCCGACACTTGTCCCGATTCAGATAGTCGATCTTCTCCTTGAGCCAGCTGTTGCCGTCCTCGTTGGTGATCATCTCGAGGCGCGTCTTCAGTTGGTACGTCTCCTGGGTGAGGAACTGGTTCTGCTCCCGCAGCTGATCCAGCTGCCGCTCCTTCTCGGCCAGCATGTCCTTCAGTATGCACACGTTGGCCATCACAGATTCTGAGTTCAGTGGGAGCAGGCGCGACTGCCACAGGGAGCGCTCCGACTGAACAGCCTCGCTGATTGCTCGCTCGCGCTGTGCCAACAGCTCCTGTCGCTGCTGGTACAGCAACTGGTCCACGTCCACGTTCGTGGCCATGGTGGTGGCGCTTGCAACGCTGGCACTGCTCGTGGGACGCTCCAGCTTCTCGAGACTGCTGTCCGAGGGCGAGCGCTCCATGGAGGTCATCAGCTTGAAGCGGCAGCGCAGCGACTCCAGCTCCGTTTTGTGCTCGTGGATCAGCTGCTCCCTTGCCTGGGCCACAGCTGCCAGCTTGTCTCGCTCCGCAAGCTCCAACTTGAGGCGCATCTCCTCCATCTGCTCCTGGGCCTGCCGCTCGCGATCCTCGCACTGCATACGTAGCACTTTCAACTTGTCCCGCAGCAACTGCAGCTCCGACTGGAACTCGTCCTGGTAGCCGAGGGCATCGCTGCGGAACGTGTCTTGGTTGGAGCGTGCCTCGGCTAGACAGGCCCGAGCAAGCTTAGACATATCCTCGATGGCCCCGCGCATCCTCTGGACGCTGGCTCCATTCTCATCGGTGAGTGTAGCCGCGCTAAGCATCAGCAGCTCCTCCGTGTTCGTGCTTCTGGCTATCTGCTCGCCAACGATGCCGCTGGTCGTCGTGCTCACTGACTTAACGGCCGTCATCAGTTTTTCAAACTCTGTTTCTGTGTCCGTTTCGCAGTCGGAAGTTGCCGAAGTGCCAACTGCAGCTGCTTGCAGCTCAGCCAGTCGCGGAGCCAACAGAGGTGGCTCCTGCTCGGACTCTTCCTGCTCCTGCTCCTGCTCCTGTTCCCTGGCAAGACCAGATCGATGCACAAAGAACTCTATCACCGGCCTCATGTTTGGCAGCTGGAGCTGGGCGGACAGCTCGGGCAGCTGCGAGGAGAGCAGTTCAATGTCAGATCTGTTGAGCGGCGGGAGACGCGTGTCGAAGCTGAGGGGATGCTCGTTGGCAAAGGCGGGCGGCATATCGCCCATGCCGGGAAAGAGGATGTTCAAAAAGTGGCCGTCGAAGCTGGCGTTGAACTCCCGCCTGCGACGCAACTCCTCGCTGTGGATGCGATCAAAATCGACCGAAAGCCGCGTGGCCCACTGGCGGAACTCGTCGGAGAATATCTTCCGACGCACCACCTCAGCCACCGCCTCCACATAGGTGCAGGGGGCTCGGTGGATCTGCTCGATGATGCTGATGTGCCGCTCGGCACGCCTCAGGCAACGGTGGTTGAAGAGCAGGCGATTGTCAAACTCGCTCATGCCGTTCTCGATCCACACGATGCGCCGCAGACGTGTGTGCAGATTCTTGCCCAGCTCGTCCTTGGAGTTGGCGATGCAGCGGCAGAAGTCGCGGATCTTGATATGGTTCTCCAGCATCACCTGCAGCTGCGTGCAGTGAGAGAGGCACAGGTCGGGCAGCACAGAATTGTCGCGCAGATTCAGAGCACGCGCCTCGTTTTGCTGGAGGGCCAGCGCCTGCTCCTTCTGCTCCTGCACCATCTTCTTTATCTTAAACTTGAACTCTTCCAGCCGGCACAGGCGGTCGCTGAGTCCCTTTATCTCCTTGACGTCTCCCTGGTTGGCCATTTTGATGATGTGCTGCACCTCCTCCTTGAGCTTCTCGTATATGTCTGCACTGAAAATGTCTAGGCCCTGGATGCACTCGTCCGACATCAGCTGCAGCGCACTGTGGTTACCCTTGGAGCTGATCCACTGCAGCAGATTCAGGTTGTGGCGGCGCGCCAACGAGCTGGAGGTCGTGGAGGTCTGAGACACTCTGGTCGCCGCCTGCTGGTCCCCCTCAGTCACGCCCTGATCTGATCCTTCTTCACCTGTGCCCTCCTTCTCGTCACCCATCTTGAGCTTCTTGTTCGGCGAGTCTGCTTGCGAGGACTCATTCAGAGCACCCTGCTGCTGCTGTTGCTGCTCCTGCTGTTTCTGCTGCTGTACAAACACATCATCGTTGTCCAGCAGCTCGTCAAAGCCATGGAAATCGGCCTCGGCGAGAGCCATGAGGCCAGGCAGTATGGGAATCCTGGAAAGCTGCTTGAGATCATCGGAGAAGTTCCTCAACAGCTCCAGGTAGCTGTCCCGCTTCTGCAAGTGCCGATCGAAGGCCAGACAGAAGTTGTGGAAGCGCTCACGGAACTCGTTGGTCAGATCCTCCATGTTGGCCACCACCGCCGACCAGCCCTGCTGCTGTAGGTGCTGCTCGTGCACTAGTCGCTCGCACAATGCCTCCTCCTTGCGCGCCAGCTCGCGCATATGCTGTGCCAGCTGGGCCCGCTGACGCACTGCCTCAAGGCTCGGCGGAAGGGTCCGACTCTCATCCACCTGGCGCCGGAGTTCTGCGTCGGCGTCGCTGTTCTGTATCGTCGGAGCCAGCCGCTCGTCGCTTGTGAGAAACATGTAAATGGGATTGGTGTCGGTGCCAGCCGAGTAGCACGACACCTGGGTGGAGTGTGTCAGCATCTCGCCCCCGCTCTCCAGCAGGACAATCTTGACGGCGGGAATGCCGTGCAGTTTCTGTATTGTCTCCTTTAGGTTCTCCACGGACTGCAGAGCCACGTTCATGTCGAAACTCAGCATGCGACCGACGTCCACATGGAATACGTACAGCATCATGGAGCTGTTTTTCTATCCCCTCTCTCTCGCTCTCTCGGTCTATCCCCCCTTGGTTAGCTCCACCGCTGTTGCCGTCTCTCTGCTCGTTACACTTATGTTTTGGCAGTGCTTCAATAGTATTGGGTTTGTTCCTTCATCTGTACGTGTGTGTGCTTGTAGTTTTTTGCGTTTGAGTGTGTGGCAGCGATGTCTGGTGCTGCCACCTGGCGGCTATACTGGAAGACATAATAACAGAGCGGGAGAGCAGGTTAGCCAAGAGATAGTTTACAGTTGTTTTTTTAATGTTAATGAAAGAAGTAAACACTGTATTAAATCAAAACAAGAGCAGAAACAGAAATTTAGAGCAGAGCCTTTGTTCGAGATTGTTTTTTTGTAGCAATGCCTATATTGATTAACTTAAGGAAAACGTTAAATTTAATTTCTCTCTTTCAAACTTGTTCAAACTCATAACGAATCATACAGTTTTTAAATTCCGATTAGCTTTTGGAAAGCTAATGGCTTGAGAGAAAAGTCTTGAGTCTTTCAGTTACATCTCTCAACAGCTGTTAGACATTTTGACGCTGCCTCTCTCTCTCTCTCTCTCTTTGTTTGCTCTCTGCCGGAGGTCGGTGTTCGGGGGCAGCCAGCTCCAATGTTAATGACTAACTGGAACGGTTTCGAGTCGCAATAAAAAATAGCAGAGCAACCATGTGCACAGCCGCCTATTCCATTTTATTTTTATAATTTTGTTTACAGTTTGTCTGGCGCTGCTTGGACGCTTGTGTAAAAAGTTGATAAGGCGCACATTACAGGAAAGCAGCAGACGCCGCTTCACACTTGACACACGCGCACAGCATTTGCAAGTGCTAAGCGAAAACAAACTAGAATTATCAACGCACCTTAATTTAAACACGTCTAGACTAGCGGGCGTATCGAAGAATAGTGACTGTTGTCGCGTCACCACTCACTCTCAGAGAGGGAATGGGCGAAGAGAGCGCTGCACGTGTGCGATCGCGCACAAACACACACGCACATATCAATACATCGATGGACGTACATACATATAGATAGGTTGCTGTGCATGAGTTTACCTGTGGGCCACAGTCCTTTTTTACCTAAGTGAATATCACAATATTTTATAAGCGGATCTTGTAATTTCCAGGAGATGTACAATATTTCTCAAAATTCTCCACTTTTAGTGAGCACGTGTAACGGAACATGCAGCGGTGATGAAATACCTGGAACAATTGGCTAATTACAGACCAAATGACCAAGAAAACATCTGTAAGCTAATTTTTTAACAACTTGGTGAAATACTAGCTGCTATTAATCTGCCCATTAGTCATCCATGACATGCAAGAGTGCAGTCAAAGCCCCGCACCTGGGACGACCTCCTGACCAAGACCACATAGACGACCAAGCGAGCCTCAATGTGATAACAGTTTATCAGCTGCGCATTTTTAAAATGTACAAGTATCTACATATGTATGTACATTTGTACACATGTATCTACATATGCATGTACATACATATGAATGTCAACCTCACACATGTGTTATGTATAATATTCCTCTAAAAAAAGGGAATGCGAATGCAAAATCAGATAGGATGGGTTCACCACTGACGATCAAATATCTAACCTAGTGAATCAAATAGATGATGTCGTGATGACTGCTGAGAACTCCGAAAAACATTGCAGCTGGAGGATATGCAGTAGCGTAACCCTGAACGTCTCTGCCCCCACGCAGGCCAGGCGACTCCACTGCTAACTGATTACACAAACGTTAACGACACCCGAAGAGCGGAGCATAGCTGTCAGGGTTTATCAGCGCTCTGCCTGTGCCCGTTGTGGGGGGCAAAAACAACTGAAAAACACTTTCACGCTCGCAGGGCAATGGGCAATGGGAGAGGGGACTTCCAGACTCACAAGGGGAGATGCCGTTAATTGGGAATGCATTTAGTCCATATATGTATGTACATACTTATGTACATGCATACATATGTATGTAGCTGCACTTAAGAAATACAGTATTTTGTGAAGGTGAAGGCTCAGCCAGAGACAAATGACGTTGGCAGACTTTAAGGCAGCTCGGAAAACGGCAAACAGAAAACATAAAGATAAGTGTGACGCTAACCTAACCAGTGATTAAACAGCGATTACTACTCGAATATTGAACTGAAACGACTCGATCAGCTGATTCTCTTGCACCTAACTAATATCGATATTCGATTCTAAGCCCTATACTCTTTCGCTCTCGCTAGCTCTTTCGCTCAGCTGTGCAGTGTATTGTTTTGTTTTATTTTTTTTGCACTGGGGTGCAGAGAAATAAAGATAAACACCAATTTTCTTCACAACTATTCTCTTTAAATATGTAAATGATTGCAATTACTTTTAATTTGGCTCGAACTGAACTGACGCATAGCATAGACAACAATGACAACAACAACAAGAACAGCAGTAGTATGCAAGGGTTGATGACGTTCGAAAAAGAAAATGGCAGCAGGTGTAGCTGCAGTTGCAATTCAGCGGGGTGGGTGGAAGAGGAAAATGAGGGGACGGGAGAAATTTATGCAGTAAAAAGGGCGTCGTCGGATGTTTATGTGTGTGAATAAAACTATAACTAACGGTTAATTAAAACTATGCACCACTCACACTCACACTTACCTTGTAATCTTTGATCAATTCTCACAATGGCGCGCCCGTGTGTGGTACTTCGATGTGTGTGTGTGTTTGTGTGTTTTGGTTTTAATCAATTGTAAACGAGCACGAACACACAAGCGCTGAAAATTATTTTACATCAGCTGTGGCCGTGCCGTGCCTGTGCTGTGTTTTTATTTGTGGTCTGCTCTGCGCGTCGACGCCAAAGTCGAGTCAACAACAACACAACAAGCCTCTTCTTCTTGCTTCTTGCTTTGGTTTTGCCTTCTCTTCTGCTTCGCTTCGTCTCTTTCAGCACGAGTATTGTATTGTTTTATTTTCCGTTTGCTTTGCTATTTTCCGCTGCTGCTTCTTTTTACTTATTACTTATTACTTTAAAGCTATTTTCGTTGCGTATCGTATCAAATACATGTGTAAGTGTGTAAAACCGTTTGCTTGATTTTATTTCTCAGTTTTTCTTCATTAATATGTTATTTATGCAAAAATATATGTCCCATTTTCCCCCGCCACACAGTGATTGGGTTGTTTGCGTTTTGTGGGCCCCTTCGTTCTCTGTTAATCTATTTCTTTGTCTATCACAATTGCGTTGTTGTTGCTGCTGGTGTAGGGTAGGTGTTGTTGTTGCTTGTTTCCTTGCTTTCTGCTTCTGGTTGTTGTTGCTTGTTGGCAGTATTAGTTCGCGTCACTTTTCAGCCATTTACGAAGCGGATCGGCCATTTAACCCGTTTTGGTTTTTCAATTCACACAATTTCACTCACGCATATTGTTGATTTTCTTATATTTCTAATTAAATTAAATGGTATAAAAATGAAATAACGCACTTCGTTCTCACTATCAGTGGGACCGCAGACTTATTGAAAAAATACCCTCAGACCTACAAAAATATACCTTTTCGCAAATAAAAAACATTGAACATAAGACGACCTTATTTAGCTCACACACCTTGCATTTTTCTATATATTTCAGCATTTTCCTATCTTTCAGTATTTTTTTTAAAGCCCAGTACTCTAATGCGCTAAATATTTTGTAGACAAAAGCTGACATATATTTCGTTACATGCCGTAAAACACCACCGGCTGCTGTTTTGAACTGAGTACTGCCAGCCGCTAAAAACATAGGTGTGCTTGAAATATGTATTATTGGTTCTATGCGAATATCATCCTTGATTTTGATAGCGTTTACTCTTTTCGGTTCTGAGTACTAGTCTTAAGATATAGTTTAGATATACAGTTCTATATCGATATTAATCCTTATGTAAGGAATTTTGGTAGCTTGCATATGTAATGTTAATCAAAGAAGCTGTTAAATAACGTAACATTGTAATCCCAATATCAGTCGAATAACATATTAGTATTTGTGCTGAGAGTCAGCAGTATATCTAGTAGAGGAAAATAATTTATTACCCACGGTATATTTTGAAAATAATAAGGTATATTTCAGTATATTTTTAAGGGCGACGCGGTATATTTAATATATTCATCCGCGGTCGTACTAGTGCAATCCCAATTTACAGAAAAATTAATTAAAATTTCTTTTTAGCAGCCAGCGCAGCGTCGTTTGCATAAAGTGAAAGCGTTAATTATAGTATAATTAAGTAGCACTGACGAGGTTCTGACATTTAAAGAATAGAACAGAGCGGCATAGACGGACCGGACGCAGAATTTTCACCCATTAGACTCACATATATACATACACACACACATCGTCCAATGACAGGGGCGGTATTTCTTAGGTGTTCTTTGAGATTATTTTTCTGACCGCAGGTGTAATTTTTTTTGTAATTTGGTAAACACATAACAAAACGATATCACCTCCCGTATTTTGCCCCATTTATTAATTCCATTGTATTTTGCCGAAAATAACTCCACATAACATATGTACATTGAAAAATGATCAACATTCAGACTATAGAAAATGTGGCAGACTGCACGCCACTTTACCTGCCCCACAGCTTGTATCTCAAGCCGTGGGCAAAAATGCAAATCTCCGTTTCATTGCCGAAAATTAAATCCGGTAAATCCGTATCCAATCTGGAGATAATGGACAAACTGAGCGCCGAGCTCAAACCGGACAAGTTTCTCATGCTCAAGGTACGTACACAAGTTATACCTCGATGGTGGGATTTCTCTTTAAACGATCTTTGGATTGCAGGTATCCAAGAGCACTGTAGACTACATACGCTTCGAAGCGGAGCTGGACGAGCGCAAGCGCCTTCGTTTGGCCCGAGAGCGTTTGGACGGCATTTCGTTGCGCATCTCTGGGTTCAGCGAATCTTTCCGTGTGCGTTGCGCCGAGGTCAAAGATGAGTTTCCCACACGCCACGACTGGGACTCGTATTTTCGCGATGCCCGCAACATGGATGAAATGAAGGCGGGCGAGCGGCCAGACACCATACATCTAACCCATCTGCCCATGCGTTGGTTCTGCCCCCGGCACATGGAGCACGAGGAGCAGGTCAAGCCCAGCGAAAGCATTTTCAAGCGCATGTTCGAGAAATTTGGTCGCGTCCGTGCCGTGGATATACCCATATGTGACCCTTATCGCAAGAGCATGCAACCGGACATCAACGGCATGCGCACGTTCGGTTTCGAGCAAGAAGTGCTCTTCGAAGCGTGAGTATAGCATCCCTGATCTCTGCAAGTGTGCGTAAATTTCGTTACTAATGCCATCCCTGCTTCAGTTATGTGCAATTTGAGGAATACACCAGCTTTGTGCGTGCCATGGATGAGTTTCGTGGCACAAAGCTGGTCCGCAAGTTTGTGGACAAGACGCAGGCCATCAACATTACTGTCAACTTCGATAAGCATAAGCATCTTAGCGACACGCACATACAGCGCCGTGAGCGAATGAGAAAGCGTTGCATTGCCAAGGCCCAGGCAGAGGATGAGGAGCGGGATCGCTTGAAGAAGCAACAGGCCGAACAACTGGAGCGCGAAAGGTTTGATAATTGTTGTAAGTCAGGAAATGAAATCAATAATAAACATAGGGCTGGGATCAATGCGATCTATACAGAGTTGCAGAATTACTGCCGAGTATTACTGGTTTCATCTCTTGGCTTTTGATACATTTTTTTCTCACAAAGAGTATTGCTTTTTACATATGTTTCTCACACGGCGGTCGTTGGGCGAGTGGGGCAATTAGCCTACCCTACCGTTCTCTGTATCTTCTAGACGAACAGTTAACAAAACAAATATTCTTATGCATATAACAAACAAAACAAAAATATAGAAAAGAAAAACAAAAAACAAAATCCTGCAAAATTGCAACAAAAATTACAGGCAAAAGCAGGAAGAATTGAAATTAGCCGAGGTGGAAAAGCAGCGTGAACGCGAAGAAAAACGTAAAGAAAAACATCTCAAAAAGATCCACGAGCGCGGCCAGGTGGAGATCTCGCAAAAGATACGCATCGAGGAGCGCAAGCTGCTGATAGCTCAGCGCAAGCTGGAGAGCATACGCACCCTGGAAAAGTTATTCGAGCGCATACAGGTACAGATACAAGCGGGGAACTACACTCTCAAATGGTTATTAACTTCGTTATTTTTACCTCCAGTTGAAGCAGAAAGATAAGCCACGACGTGCACGACAAGATGAGGCCAAGGACATTCAACGTGGCCGTTTGGTGGAGAAGTATAAGGCTGCCACAGAGAAGCTGGTCAGCGAGCAGCGGAAAATTGTGCAGGAGATCAAGACCAATACTCCCTTGATGGGCCTGCTGAAGAGTAAATCGAAGAAGAACTCTGCTGCCGATTGCAGCAGCGACGACGAGAATGCCAGAGCTGCTGGCAAGCGGCATAAGGCAAATGGCTTGGTCACAGCAGCTCCAGCTCCTGGAGCCTTAGACTCCCTCGCGAATGCCGCACTAAATCCATTCAAGCCTGCAGCTGGCATGCCCGTTGGCGCTGTTCCTGTGCAAGCCGCCTACAATGCCGAAGCAGCCAGCGAGTGGATGCAATCGCTGTCCATGTTTGGATACGGCTTACCCGGAGTGTTTCCTGGAGCTCTCTATCGGCCCGCAGCTCCATTTCCAGTCTCCAGCAATTACCGAGGCTTTGCGCCACGTCCCCGCATCCGAGGTCGGGGCCGTGGAGCAGGCTTCCGTGGCGGTCGTTCCGGCTACGAGGGTTCATCCTCGTACTACAATCCCAAGCACGATCGCTATGGCGAGGATGATAACGACAACAGCTACCATCACAAGTCCTCACGCGGAAGGTATATATTTTGAATAGACTGCTGCGAATTAGAATCCTATTATGAAATGTCAATAAATTTCGATTTGCAGGCATCGATCGCGTTCTGCCTCATCATATTCCCGGAGTCGGAGTAGATCCCACGGACGACGGTAAGTAATTCGATACAGAATGGGTGTTTTTTCATTGTTTTTCAATAGAATTATCTGCCGTTCTAGACGCTCTCAGTCGCGCAGCCGCAGTCGCAGCCGATCTCACTACCGCAAATCATCTTACTCATCACGATCCAGGTAAACCACACACAGCCTCTGTCTTTAGTCTGCAATTTTGTACCGAGTTCAATTATTTATAGACGAAGTCACAGTCGATCTCATTCGCGCAGTCGAAGCAAGACGCCGTCGCAACGAAAGAATCGAAAACTGGCCTCCACGCGACGATCGCGCTCCATCAGCTACTCACGTTCCCGCTCGCACTCTCGCAAGCGCT